TCAGTCTGCTATGAATTATCAGTTGTGATTAGGGCTGCCATCGAACTCAAATGTCAGTGTCGACAGTCGAACTCTGCTGTCGAAAATATTGTCGACAATCGAACTTTCCAGGGAGAAAAAATCATCGGGAAAAAAAGAAAAATTATTTCTGTGTTGTTGGTTCGTTTTTTCCAAATCTATCGGGGAAAAGCTTCATATAACTTATATTCATATTGGTATGTAATTGCCTAATATTGTTACTAAATGCCAAGTTAATAGAATATTATAGACGAAAATGGGACAAATACCTGCAATGTTTCGACCGGGATTTATTTCGACTGCTCGGGCGAAATCTCGTACAACGTCTCGCAAGAGAGAAGAGAAGTCATGAAGGGAACTTCCGGGTGAATTTATTTTTTGAAAATGAAATGAATGTGAACAATATTTCCGCAGAATACGCGCACATAACACGTTGAAATGTGTATTGAAATGTATTGGGGCCATTTGGATATTTTCAAGTAAGTATTGATATCGTTTGCTGTCGACATGACGGGAATTTTTGTCGACTTCGTTGTCGAACTTGCATTTTGACTGACAAGTCGACGTTCCGACTAATGATGGCAGCCCTAGTTGTGATGTATTTGAGTGTAAATCTGTTCATTTTATTTCAATTTTGACAAATTGCTAGTTGTGGTTCTAATGAGGTTTGGAATTGTTACTTTCAATATTTATAAGTTATAACTTTTAACACAAATACTTCCAAATCTCTTAATACTATCTCTGGCATATTACATGTAAGCATACTTTTCACAAATCATGGGATGTTTATGTTGTTCCTGACACTGAAATTGACAGTAATTGTATAGCTTTTGTACAATTGAGTACAATGTCATCACATTAATGACAGTTGCATTTTGCAATGACATTCATCACCTTTTATAACTAAGCACATAAGGGACCAGCTCAATATATTGTTGTATATTTGTATGTTCACAAACAGAATTACATTTGCATGAGGGGGATGGATTTGGGACTCATTTGAAAAAACAATATATTTTTTGTTGCATTTTCATGATATGAAACCTGGAGGTCAATCTGAATTACTTAATTGTATATACATATATATATATTGACCTGGTCCCTTACATATATGAAGACTGGCAGATAATTTAGGGCATAAAGTTACTTATACATGTTTGACATTTAAAGTCCAAGAATATATCTTATGCACTGGTATTCATATTGGTTAGGAATTTTCTTGAAATAGGCCCTGCACATCTTAATGAAAATAGAACTTGGTTTCTAATATGTTTTTCCTCACAGTAAAGATTCAGGAGTTTATTTAGAAATAAGTAACGTCTCTCAAAGCATTGCCAAAGTTCAACAAGATTGATAATGTTGTTTATTTTAAATTTTATGAAGTACCCTTCTTACAAATTATTTTTTGTAGAACAAGTGTTACTTAGATTGTTATGTTTAATACCAAATATTGTTTTAGTTGCTAGACGTAAACAATGTATGGAAAATAAAATTTTAAAGCATCTGAAAAGCAAATAACAGTGTCTTTGTGAATATTTTGTATTAGATAAGGAGTGTATAACAGGTATTCACTGGATAAATGGCACATCAACCTTATTTAATCAGCCTAGATAATAATATTATATAGTTTAACAAATAAGGCATTAACATGCAAAATTTCACTACCTGCCATTTGTTACAGATGCCTTGTCATTGTTACAGATGCCGACCACCTAACTCTGAGCATCAACCGCCATCCACAAAAGAGTTGAAGACTCAAACAATATGTCACCATGTATGGTAGTTGCATAACAAAATTTAACATGTTTACTGTCTTTTACTGTGTCTATTGGATCAAGGGAATATCTTAAATGAGCTGATCATTTGTTTATAAATTCATTAAAGGGCCAATAGATGTAAGTCTCATCCTAAATGCACACACACACACCCACGCCTAGACAACTCATCCCCTATACAATTCATCCCCTGGACAACTCATCCCCTGGTCAACTCATCCCCTGGCAACCCATCCCCTGGACAAATCATCCCCTGGACGATTGCAATAGCTCACCATGTGGGCTAATAATTACACAAAAGAATGTTTTTGTCTAAGTGTATTGATTCTGCAAGTAACATACCCACGTTAAGAATCAATAAAATACTTTCAGATCATTCAGGATGACAATTATAGCTATTAGCCCTTTAATTGATATGCCCAATTAAAACTAGATAACAGCAGTCATTAAATCTTTTTTCAGTAATAACAAAAATTGTAAAACACACATAAAAATGACCACCAATTTCAGGCTTTGTATAAAAAAATGCATGCAAAAAATGGAAACCCTTACACCATTTTCCTCATATCTTTTTCACTTTAAGAACTCCCTGGTATTTTACACACTTGTACATCATTCAATTTCATATCAGCTTACTTTATTTCATGACCATCAGATTCACAGGCTGGTATCGAAAGATTTGTCCGCTGTGACGGAGCATGCTATTTTTCATAAAAACACTGAGAATGCTTCACGATTTATTTTTTAACTCATATGTTTCGTTATATCAAAGATAATTACTTACTCCATGCAATGGATATATCATTTGCGTGTAACCTTCACTTCTGTTTGAAGTCCAATAACGCTAGGAGTAAAATCTATTGAAAACGGCGCCAGAGTATCAAACTCTAAAATGTACCATTTGAAAATGGCGCCGGAATATCATACTTCAAAATGTACCATTTCTTGTTTAACTTTTTAATGGCATGATATAGTGACACAATAATTTAAACATATATTTTAAGCATAACTCTGAATGTATTAATGAGATATTAATGCATTGGGTCTTTTTAATTTTTTTAATAAAAAATAATATTAATATTTTTTGTCCGCTGTGACGGAGCATTTTCACAGTTCACATTTGCAACTGCTCCGTCACAGCAGACAAAAAAAATAAACATTATTTTTTATAAAAGAATTAAAAAGACCAAATACATCAACATCTCATTTATATCTTCATAGTTATGCTGAAACCATGTGTAAATATTATCGTGTCACTATATCGTGCCATTAGAAAGTTAAACAAGAAATGGTACATTTTGAAGTATGATATTCCGGCGCCATTTTCAATAGCTTTTCTTCCCATCGTAATTGAACTTCAAACAGAAGTGAAAGTTACCCGCAAATGATATATCCATTGCATGGAGTAAGTAATTTTGTATGGTATAACGAAACATATGAGTTAAAAAATAAATCGTGAAGTATTCTTAGTGTTTTTACGAAAAATAGCATGTTCCGTCACAGCGGACAAATATTTCGATACCAGCCTGTGAGATTAATAGTCACAATGTCACAGCACTTTAAAGAACATGCCTGGTGGCCACTATTGCGCTGACGCTGTGTTTGAAGGGTTAACATTTTTAAGTTTTAAAAGATCTTTAAAACTTTGTTAACGCTTACTTAGATCACCAGCGGATCTAGACGGGGGCGTGGGGGGCGAACGTCCCCCTAAAAAGTCAAAAAATGTGTGTTTTGCCTCATCGCTTTTTACAAAATTTGACTTTTCACTCAGTTATTATCACACGCCCCCCCTTACACAAAATCCTGGATCCGCCCCTGTAGATGTACAGTATTAATGCACTCATAGTATTGAAATTCGTCTAGTCATCAAAGATAGATACATGTAGAATAGAGTCATAAAAAATAAAAACAGAATTGTTTGTCAAAATAGCGCGAGATTAGTTGGGGATTTGCCAAATGGAATTCTGTTTCATTTTATTTAATGACAGCATGAGTAACAATGATTTTAGTCTCCGGGCCAGGGGTTGTAAATTCAGCGCAACACATGACAGTAATTGTTTTCTTAACTGTGGTGTTGGATGATGATTCACTTTCTGGTTCCAAATTGAATGATGGCGGATCCAGAAGATAAGAAGGAAGGGAGCCACATTTCAAATTAGGAAAAGCATGACAAATTTTTTTGGTTCCCCTAAACCAAAAATGGGCCCATTTTTTAATAATTTAGCCTAAAAAAGCTCCCCGTCAAAGGGGGAGGGGGCAGGCCCCATGCCCCCCTGGATTCGCCAGTGAGTAGTACACCCATAAAGACAAGGTTGTAATGCAACCTAAATGTGACAATATAGTGACATCTTTTAGATGACTTTCTTGAATTTCCAAGCAACTATAATAAACGATTTTAGTGTAGATTGCTTGAACAAGCTCGATTGCACCAGTTTGATGAAGGATAAAATAGCAAAGATAAACAGTATTGTAATTCTGGCTATTGTATTAATAGACAATGTTAGATCTACATTTATTAGACATACATGTAGGTCTACGAGTGCATAATGCATCTACAGTTCAGCATAGTTGGTCCATTGAATAATCTTAATATTCTAAAATTTGAACCCTCCAAAGACTGTATCATGCCCCACATACATGGGTACGAGGTTTTTTATTCAAAGCCCATTTTTCAGACATGACAAAGAATGAAATGAACCAAAAATAGTCTAAAATTGAAACAATTTCTTGCTTACTTGCTCACAAGATCTGATTCTCTCTTTAATTATCCCATCGAACGAAGTTCGGAGGGATATAGGGAACGCCTCCGTCCGTCCGTCCGTCTGTCCGTCCGTCCGTCCGGGCAATAACTCAAATACCGTTGGCCCGATTTTGTTCATATTTTGTACACATATACCCTATGGGGGTAGAAGTTCTGCTCGAAAGCCGATTTTCAAAATGGCCACTCATTTCAAAATGGCGGCCATTTTAGTGCCGATTTTACAGTAATTTAGGTGTAATATGTAAAACTGTAATAGCAATATGTTTTAAATGTAAAAAAATTATAAAGGACATTAATAATGCTACAAATGTAGATATTAAAGAAGCACATGGCAGCCATCTTGAAAAATGGCGGCCTTTACTCGTCATTTTACGATTTTTGCTATAACTCAAAAAATAATGGAGCGATTTTGTTCATTGAGTTATAAATAAGACAAACATGTCACATTAAATAAATCAACAATTTATTACTATAATTACATGATTATCTTTTTAACAACAGCACTGTACTCTCAGTAATCTTTTGTGCTTCATTCACATTTTCATGATTCATCCATGTATAGGAGCTACAAAATTCCATTAGTTTTAAATTAGCAAAAAAGTATGAGTATGAATAGCAAAGATCTTCAGCAGTTGCAAGATATAGTCAAATGGAACTGAACTAGCAAAAATTAATGGTAGCATCATTTCACAAATGCTTAAAATCAGTAAAAATGTCAAAATCACAAAACATGATATAATGACCCGCACTATACAATACAATACAATATAATGTAATAAAAATGTTTAAAAATCAGGAACTTTCCACAGGAAAAGTCCTTTCAGCTTTATCTATCATTGTTGCACTAATATCCCAAAGCTTTTTTGCCAATTTCTCATTTCTTGATTGTTCACTAGAAATACATTGACAGCAATTATTCCAGTACATGCCGCCTACCCCCTCCAGGTCTTTGCTGACTGCACAGAACACAGTGGTGCTGGCCCCCTGCTCCTGGAACACAAAGGAATATATGGCATAACAATAGTGTTCAGTTCCAATTCTGTTCAAACTGTAATATTTCAAGAAAGAGAAAAAGGAGAGCTCCGTTCTTTGGCATAATACGGTACAACTGGCTAGAAACCTGTTTGTCTATGCCAAATTACCTTTGCCATATTCCGCTTTATTGAGAATTGCAATAAGTAACAATGATAAGTAACTGTGTGAGTATACCTGTTGCACAGAAATTACTTCATGCACTGCTTATTACATGTATGGAGCATTTATCTGGGCTCTAGAGAATTCTGGTAATGGGGCCCTTTGTAAAAACTAAAAAGTGTACAGTGCGTCCCATAAAAAACGCAACAAAAAAGACATTGTAAAATCACAAAACCAATGATGATAACATCAATTTGATTTAGTTTACCAGGAAGCCATATGTCTCCTCTTTCCAATGGTATGTCAATTATTCATATAAGACCATAGACCACTGAATAATCATTCCTTTTGTACAACGTGCCAAAATCTGCTCTGGGCCAAGTTTTAGACATTACAACAGTTAACAAAGAGTCACCAATGAGGTTGCTGCTCTCTGCCAGAACCCCAGATGATTCAAAAAGGTGTGCGACATGAACACACAGGCCAGTCTCAGTGTGTAGAGAAATAGTGGTCATGTGAAAGGGCATGGAATGTAATCTTTCATAAGATTACAGACAACGACTGTTTATGCCACTTTTTCCATATGTTCGTTAAACTGAACCAACAAGGATACTGATGAACAGTTAAAGTTAATTTTTCTTTTCATTTTTTCTTTTTCCTCAGTAAATCTAAATCAGAAACTTGTGTTAGGTACATCTTGTGACAAAAATTTAATCCCCAGTACCAATTACATAATGATTTACCTGATTGCACAATAAGGATCTGTTGAAAGATATTTCATAACTTGGCACAAAGGCCTTTTCACCCATGTACGAAAAAACAATGATTTTTCAGTGGTCCATGATTGGATATGAACAAATGACATATCATCGGAAAGGGGAGACACATGGCTTCATGATAAACAAAATGAAATTGATGTACTCATCACTGGTTTTCTGATTTTACAATGTTTTTCTTTGTTGCGTTTTTTTGGGGACGTACTGTATTTAGGAGAGAAATATATTTTCTCATATAAAGAAAGGACTTACTGTACTTTTAGTGAATGGTCTAAGTATAGTGAAAAGGAGTCGCCACATCCACCACTGTCTGGAGATTCTGGTGTTTATACAATTACCAGGATGGACTACATTAGACGTTACATTACTCGAACACAGTCTTCTCTGTAATTCATTACTGAAGAGCACATTGCAGAGTTTACTGTCATTATAAGCCCGCATTGAGCTGTATCTACTAATGTCTGGAGAGAGTACAGCTTCAGATAGCACATCATCTATTGTGGAAAACCTGCAATGAAATTATAAATATGAATCAATTAGCAACAATCAATATGACAAATGAAAGAATTATTCACATATTATTTTAGTCATTTTAATATCGCTATAAGAAGGAAAATTCTGATGCACAAATAGCCTACAATGTAAAATTTGCAATCTAGGCTACTCATCGGTTCCTATAATATGCATATACTGTACATGTAAGTTAGGCATATAGTAGAATATCTCAAGATTTCTGCAAAATCACACATATCTTCTATCCAATATTATTGATTTGAATCACTTAAGCCATATCCTTGTAGATCTCAAATTAACACACTAATTACTGCCTTTTGAATTTTCAATTTCTGTATTTGCAGTCTAAAATATATTTAATTCGATATATTTTGGTATACCCTTGCAACATTTCATTACTGTATTAGTAATAGCCATTACTTTGGGTTGAAATGAAAACTTAGGTGTACACCTTAAAATCAATTTTTAGGCAACCACTTACAAAAGATGAACAGATAGAAATCTTTAAAACTACTAAATAATAATCAAAAAATGTCATTTATAATTGAGTTGATCTTTGGACAGATGATGTAGTGATGAAAGGCTAATAGCAATATCCTAAGTAAACGAGTGATAATAATTCTTAGATGTTTTTTTTTAATTCAAAAGCTGGACAATTGCATACCTGTGGGACTCTGATGACAAAACCACCACTCTGGCAGGGTTTGATTTTATGAGTAACTGAGTAAATAGTTGAGTAAGGTAGAAATGTCCAAGGTGATTTACTTGGAATGTTGTCTCGTAACCATCTTCTGTTAGAGAATGTGCTACACCAAATACCCCTGCATTGAGGATGAGAACATGAAGGGGCCTGCAAGAGAAATAATTTAAAACATAATCAAAATATTCAAGAAATAAAGGATATTTTGGATTAAGGCATAGTTGTCCCGGTTCTTTGAGGGAAGTTTTGTGTAATAGGGAACTTGTATATAGATAGTTAAACAGATGACAGTAGAGGTTTACCTTCAGCTAGAATATCATTACTTTATAATGGAGAAAACTTTTTATCGAAGTTACTTTATTTCCTAATTTATTCAATGTCCAATTTGAATTACTGTACATCTCCAATGGCATGCAACTTGTTGACATGCAGATTGTTATTCAACATCATGGATGTGATCCTTTTAAATCATAAATCAAGAATTTAACATTGTGTCAGTTGGGATTAGCCCAGAAATGAATGTATAGTAAAACCTGTCTAATCCGAACACCCATGGGACCAGCCAAAAGCGTTCAAATTGGCAGGTGTTCAAATTTCGAGGATTTTGTTGGTCAGGGGGGGGGGGGATTTTCATTGTTCAGTGCACTATATTGAACACTTAATAGTAAGTCAGAAAACAATACATGTTGTTGATGAGTTTATTCTACAATAGGCCTATAGCCTATATGCTATGCTTCATTTATATTTTGAACAATTTCATCATTTTAGTAAAAATGACTCTTATATTTTGGCAAAAACTTTGTAATACACTGTAAAAGTATATGATAGTCTCGTACGAAATCTTATGCTTATCAAATGGCTTATCCCATATTATGGTTATATAGCACTGCTTTACTTTTGCTTGAAAAAGTCCGTCATTGTTGTTTGTTTCTTGGCACTTTTAGCATTAGCAATATTTGAGTAGATATCCTCTTCAACGAAAAATAATTTTTCATGAGTGTTCATTCGAGATGATGTATAATCCTTCAAAATATCAAGGGCATTCAGGATGTCAGATATATGCGAATATTACGAAGTTAAATATTTTCTCCTTCTCGTGATATAATCGTGTCTGCAAATGGCGTCTGTGTTGTCTTTGTGATTATAAAACATTTACTGATTGAATCTTAGCTATCATAACAGACCCATGGGATATAAAACAGTTAAGACCTGTTCATAATCCAAATCAAAAACATCCAGTTAATTTACAATAAGGATAAACCAATTATCTCCCAGACTCTCACCTTTCTCTTAATCCAAATCAAAAACATCCAGGTAATTTCCAATAATGATAAATCAATTATCTTCTTGATTCACACCTTTCTTTTAATCCAAAAATAAAACATTCAGTTCTTTTCTAATAGGATAAACCAATTAACTCCTGTATTCACACCTTTCCAAAACATCCTGTTTTTCCACAAATTAGGTCACTGAGACTAAAGAAGTTAATTAGGACAATTTGTTCTTTGATTACATTTGTATATAACAACTATAACATTGACTCAATATGTGGCTTTAATTGAAATGTCCAGACATTTGATTTCTGATAAAAATGTTCAGATTAGACAGGTCACTTTTTCAAATCTGGTTGTTCACTGTTCAAATTAGGAGGTGTTCAGATTTCAAGTTTTTTTTAACATGGGAGTCAATGGGAGGAAAAAATGGGACCGAAAAAAAGTGTTCAAATTGGAAGGTGTTCGGATTAGTCAGGTGTTCAGATATACAGGTTCTACTGTAAATCAAATTGATTTCATTTAGCAGGTTGTAAGTTTCAATTCAGTCAAACATTCAAAAACATTTGCACAGTTTACAGCAGGCCCATAACAAGGTTTTGCCAAGTTGGTTCACTTTCAAAAAATTCTAGGGAGGGATTCACATTTGACAACTTGAAGAATGGTGAAAAACTGGATGATTTTTAAAGAATCTTTGGCTCGAACCCTGGCTATGGGCCTAAACAGTATGAAGTCACTAAATTGTGGCTTTGTATGGGCCCTGTACATACCAGCCCCTCTCAATATACGTCTTGGCACACTGCTGGACAGATCTCAGGGAAGTAAGATCAAGGTTGATGTACTGTACTTTAGCCTGGGGTCTTTCCCTGTTGATCTTTTCTATACATTCGTTTGCAGACTTGAAGTTCCTACAAGCCATTACTACATGGGCACCATGGAAAGCTAAGGCCTTGACAGTTTCAAACCCTGCAAAACAAACAACACTAGAATAAGGCATTAACCATGAATATAATATGTAACCACCTGGTCTGTTTATCAGTCGAGGTGGACATTTTCTACAAGAAATTAAAATGGCTGTTTTAACGGAAAATAACAAATCATCTGGAGATTTCCAAATGAACATAAACAAATGGTCGCATTTCCAGGTATGAATGTTTTTCATATTTCAACTTATTTATTTTCATTTGTTATTGTTTCATTTCAAATTGAAAATAAATAAGATGAAATTTGAAAAACGTTCAGCAATGCAGCCATTTGTTAACATTCATTCGGAGACCGCCATTTTAGTTTCTCATAGAAAATTTCCACTCAATGCAATAAAAAGAATTCAAACATGACCGTGCTCTATTCGAATTTCTCAACCAATCAGAATGCAGCATAGCCAATATAGAACGTTCTCTAATTCTCCATAGATGCACGACCATGCTCTATTCAATCTGCAATTTGCATTGTTTTGAGTGACGTCACATCTCAGCTGCACATCTGGGGCTCTGTCCGGGGATTGTTTCTTTATTCTTCCTTCATGCCCGTTCCACAGACACGGCTTTTACTAATTTTTATGTTTGAATCGGAATAAATAATGATAGGCCATTCAATATGGTGAAATTCAGCACTCGTTGGACAGAATGTTAGTACAAATGCACTCACCTTCGGTTCGTGCTTTGTACAACATTCTGTCCAACTCGTGCTGAATTTCACCATATTGAATGGCCTATCATTATTTATTCCTTAAGTCTTGAGCAGCACAGAGGCACCTGAAACTTTCCATAGTTTCACAGGCAAAGGCCACTGATTTTAGGAACATTTGGAGATATAAAGTAAGCGGCTATTCAGGTAAAATTCAGGTAGGTATAATTTATGAAGGGATTTGAGTACACGATGTGACAGAGAGCATTTGGGTAGTTTATGTGTCAGATAAATAAAACATAAATCAACTTGTCTTTATTCATTACTTCCAAGATAGATGCCCATCTGAAGTCATCAATTCACCTGTTATTCAATAAATAAACAATAAAATACAATATATATAACATTGGCAAATCCAAAAGCAAGTATTTCATAGACATCATCTTTTAATATCTCTCCTCCAAATATTCCATAGTATCTCATACTTGAGTGGGTTTGGGGTAGATATCACTCGGGAATATACATCGTATCTGAGGAGCGGGCAGGATATATTGTATATGTCCCGCTTCAGGCCAAATGCGGGCAGATATAATATATCCATCCCGCTCCCGGGAATTTTCCAAAAGTTTAAAAAAGTTTAAATATCAAAAGTTTTAATTTTTTAATTTTAAAATTAAATTTTTTTAAGTTTAAATGTTACAATTTCATTGTATTGAACAAAAAGAATATTACGAAAATGTTAAATATAAATATCTTGTCATTTGAAAAAGGTGGAAAAGGTTATATCTACCCTAAACCCACTCAAGTATGAGATACACCAGTTATGCACGGTCGGTTTGGATACATGGAATATCCCTTGGAATATACAATACATCTTCCCTCGGTCCCTCGGGAAGATATATTGTATATCCCTCGGGATATTCCCTGTATCCAAATCCTCCCAGTGCATAACCCCTATGTATGTGACATTTATTAACATGACATGAGGAAATGTAATGATGGATAATATTAAAAAATGTTCTCTTTCCACAATAGAATTAAGAAATAGCACATCCAATATTTTACTTAATTCTATCAAAAGCAGTGAATGCAATATGACTTTTTAATTTTGTTGAATCTTTCTAATTGCATGGGCTTTCAAGAGAAAGCTGAGTGTCAGGACAAAAGGTAAAGATCTTAGCATAGATGAGTAATGGAGGATGATATATTTATTAAGATGAATATGTTAATCAAGATATCAATATATACTTTTCCTTTATATGAAAAAAATTCTACAAAGAAGACTCGGCCACCATTTTATATTGAAAAACACTGTTTTTTGTTGTTGTTTTTTATAGTATAAACTTTATTGAGGTAAAGTCAATACATTTTCGGCCACCAATCGGCCACCAATTATAGGTTGGCCATCACTTACGTGTAAAAAATTGAGTATAATATTTGACTGTGCATCGAAGGGTATCCCAGGGACCAGAGGGGTTGGTGCCAAGTAGCCTATTAATATTTCTGCTGAAAGTATATTTGAGATCTGAAATGTATGTAACATGTAGAAACTGACATACCTATTCCCGAATTAGCTCCAGTCACAAGAATGTATTTTCCACTAAGATCTCGACCTGAAAATAAAATTCATTCTACCAACAGACAAATTTTTGTAGGGGAATGCATATTCTACATGTTGAGCTTGCTATCTAAATCACAGGCAAAGTTTGAAAACAATTTTAATCATCCAAATAAGTGGTGGGATAACTACATGTATTATTTTCATAACATAAAAAGTCAAGATCTGACATATCAGATAAGCATCAAACATCTGTGATGTCACATGTTTATATTATGATGTCACTTAGCATTGGCGAATCCAGGAGTTAACAAGGGGGGGGGCAAGATTTCAATATCTACAAAATATTTTCCTTGCTCGAAGGAAATTTTTGGGTCCAATAATTTTTTGGGGCCCTTAAAAAATTTTCTAGGCCCACCCAAGGGGCCCTGGATCTGCCAGTGCTTAGCATATAGAGCTTCTCTAAATGTTATAAATGTCTGAACAATATTGTTCGACTATAATATTTTGAAGAAAATAGTATTCATGAGCTTAAATAAGGTTGTTCCTACTTTTGTTTTAATTGAAATTTTACTTTTAAAATGAGTAATTATAGTAACTTTGTAAGTACAGTATTACATTTAATATTCATTGCACTCTTGATGTGTCAATTTATTACTTGTTTTCCAAAGTATTTTCCCATTTTTTCAGTACAAAATATCGAATCTAAGGATGTCTGCTTTGTTGTGTAATGAGACCCTTGGCCATTAATCCATGCCAATCCCTTTGCCCATTAATTCCTGCCAATCCCTTTTCCCATTAATCCCTGCCAATCCCCTTTCCCATTTATCCCTATCAATCCCCTTGCCTATTAATCCCTGCCAATCCCCTTCACTCACCAGCTTGAATAATGAATAATCAACTACTCCAAATATTAAATATTCCATTTTCATACCTTGTAAAACAGCAATGGCCTTAGTGCTTGCATCATATTTCTGTATGATCTCCCCATTATATGGCTTGTCCTCTTGGGCAAATGCTAGCCTTGGGTCAGTGAATGTTGTCTTCTCATTAATGTGACTGAAATGTATAATGACTCATATATGTTTCCTTTTTAAGTCAATTATCACATGAACATTTTTTATAACATTGACACTAAAATATTTTTAGGAGAATCTGAAATGATCTGTACTTTAAAATGTTAAAAACTAATCTTCATGACTTTTTAAAAAGCCAGCAAAAGCCTTTTATGTGATTTGTTTACTAAATTACAATTTTCCTAGTCATTGTACTTTTTAACCATAAAAGTGGAGCGTTTTTGGATATAAAATATATTTCATGTTTTCTCATGCAATTCGCCTGCACTAAACAGAAGGTTCCACTGACTCATTGTAATCTGAAAATCCCAAGAGATTTCTCAAAGATGAACTAGAAAATGGCAACTCCACAGAGTAACAAATCCCAATGAACAAATTCATAGGCATTCGTCTTTTTATGTCACAATATAATATTTAGAATCTACTCTGAGCTTGATTTGCAGATAATAAAAGACAGAGATATCAGAATTTACACCACATTTGGGTGACCATTTAGGAGTATCAAAATTATAAAAACAATACAATATTTATGATCTAACATATTATCTCCCATTTATTATACCAACGAACGAAGTTCGGTAGGTATATAGTGAAGTCCTCTGTCTGTCAGTCAATCCATTCCATCTGTTCGGATAACTCGAATACTAGTAGACAGATTTTCTTCACATTCGATGGAAAGATTGAGGTTGAGCAAAAAAATGTCAAAGTGTCCGCTGCTTTAAAAACTGCAGGAACTTACTCAAAATACACAATACAGGCATGATAGCTCAACATTGAAACTTCACTCAGCATTTAGAATAACACACGATCATTGGTGACTCAACATTAAAGATTTCACTCTCAACTGAGATTTCGTACTTACTCAACATAGAACACAACTCCACTTGAGTCAACTTTCCTCTCCCAGCCATAAGGCAACTCTGCAAAATAATGTTGAATGTGTCAATTGGAAAAAGCAATCAGCTTTGACTAGAAAATGGTAGCTTCACTATGTAGCAAATCCTAAGAATAAAATAGTCTCCAATTAATTACTGTAATTCCATATTTGACGATAGAATGTTTTTAGAGAAAAAGTATAATGATTCATTATGTTCTAATCTAGTATATAATTTATATACAGGGTGTTTCATATGTATACACCCCCCTCTAACTCATACATGTAGCATTGCCACCCTATCATGCTATATACCATTCTGTTTATTGTGAAAAGTTACATAAGATTGCAAGGTTTCGGAATCAAGGGGTGTCCCTGAAAAATATACAATGTTGTATCAAAGTATGTGGGTACGGGTTATTGAGAGAGTAATTTCTGGTCATTTTGAGAGCAATTTAGAGGACAAAAATGATAGGGTGGTATCAAAATCGAGAATTCGTTCGAGCCAAAGCTGGCTAAGGGAATGCTACAAGTAATAATATTGCTCAATTATATCAGACACTAATATTCTTTTGATCGAAGCATACCAAATTTTGAAGCACCGCCATATTCTTTTTGACTCTGCTAATGATTACACAATAACATGTCGTCACAGAACAATGAAACGGAGATTCATCTTTACATGTACATGAACACATGTTACACTGGGAGGTCAACCCCTTTCTTATTGAGATATTCCATATGAAACAGGTTAAACAATTAGAATTTTTGTGTCTCTGAATCTTAATGAACTAAGAAAAGGGGTAATGCAGAGTCACAAAAAGAATTCAATCCCTCCAAGACATCTACAATTTGAAAATGTGACCCTCCATAGGGATATCATTATGTTGATATATGAACTAGCAAAAACAAATGTCTTCTGGCAAATAAAATATGTCATCATATCATCGCTACAAAACTGTCGATTCCTAAGCGAAATACTTATTACTTACTTTATCTATTTCTGGGATGAAATCATATTTCAAAATGAAAACCTACATACACTACATACTGGCCAAATATTAAGTTAAATTTGATGGATATAAAGGTGGCAAAATCAATGCCGAAATGATATTCTTGCTCCCTACTTAGTAGTATTACCTCCTGCCACTTTCTTCTTTTTGCCTGACACTGGATGAGTCCACTGAGTTCCCTGTGTATTGTGACTGCAAAAAAGGCATCAACACATGAGTAACAGTTTGGTCTTCAGCAGTTGGACACTAACTGGAGTTAGCATCATTCAAGATGGTGGACAAATATTCTTGATGTCTTAAACCTGATTTCAGCTAAATCAATTAAACTCTAATAATGCAAAGTAATAAAAGATTGGTAGTTAGTGATTTGCTGAACTGACCTCAACATTAGTCCTCAACAAGTCCCCATGTTAGGTTTGAATATATGATTTTTATCACTCAATTACTATTTGTCATGACTTAAAAAGTTATTTTAGAGATGTATGAAAAAAATTTCTCAAATATTCAAAGGATTGGTATCGATATGGCCTACTGAATTGAACACATGTTTGCCTTAAACCAGTCATAAAAAAATTCTGAAAAGTTTTGAATGGTAATAATCTAATTTTAAAAATATATTTTCTCTATTGTATTAGAAATCACATCAGACACTTCTTTTGTTCTTATCGGAATGAAATAAAACATCTAACCTAACCTCGGGAACATTTTTCTTTTTCATCAAGAGGGATTCCATCACTTTCAAGATGGTGGTTGGATTTAAAAGGGGATTCCCCAAATCCCTGTTTGACTGGCCCGGAAGTACCAATAAATGAAGGAATTTGACCGTTGAAATAAGTTAAATATTACACACAAATATTGTGATCAAAAACAAAAATTTCATTGTTCTGCCGATAAACCCAGATAATAGTGGATTCAACTACACGAAAAGAATGCTAAAATACCAAGGAATCTATTGAAGTAGGTATATGTAAGAGGCGTAGAAAATTCTCCCATGTTGCAAAAGATTGACACGTTCTCAGGACTATAGTTCTGGCACGGGATAAATTCTCTATATAAACTAATGATAGACGAGGGAGGGGTGACTTTCTCCCAATGTAAAAAATAAAAACTCAAAACTGAAGGATTTGTGTAAAAAACCTAGTGACCTGGTAACCGGGTGACCGGGTACTTAACGTTCCTAGCAGGGTTAGGAATTTTTTTATTCATAACGTTGGATCTGGACGATATATGTACGTTATTTTCGACGTCACGTTTTGAGGTTATTTCATATCGTAAGAAAGTTTTGACAACGTTAACTTTTAACGTTTAAATAACGTCGATAATGAACCGATTTAGTGAGAACATATTGACATCTTTGTACCGTTTCCTTAACTCACAAATATTTTGAAGCCATTTCCACTATGTTGAAATTCAACCATCCATCGACGTTTTGCTGAATATTTAAATAACGTCAGATCAATACGGTCCATGAACGCCATTATTGAAGTCACGTTTTGAGGTTATTTCAAATCGAAAAAACGTTTCGACAACGTTAAATTTTAACGTGTTTGTTATGTTTTCCACACCTCTAACGAACTTTACGGACACGTAACAACAACATTCTTTTTATACCATCAATAGATTTCTCATGTTAATGTTGTCTCGATGTATAAAGAACGAAAATGCGCAACGTCTTCTAGGAACTTATATGCTACTTATGAGCAACGTGACATGGACGTCACTGTTTGCTGGATCGATTATTTTAAAAAGTGCTCTTAGAAAGTAACGGAAAAGGGCCAAAGTAACGCTTTTTGAAAATGCCTACCTAAATTTCACCAACGCTCGATGGAGGAAAACTAAGAGTACAAGAAAGTTAAGGAAATCGGCCAAAGTAACGCTTTTTAAAAACACCAGGCTAAAATGTTCGACACTTGAAGGAATAAAGTTAAAAGTAACGTTTTACTGGCAAAGTACTGTGTTTTTAGAATGCCTACATAAAAAATCACCCATTATTCGAGGAGAAAAGTTAAAGTCCACGAAAGTAACGTTTTATCGGCAAAGTACTGTGTTTTGAAAATGCCTACCTAAAAATCATCCATTCTTCGAGGAGAAAAGTTAAAGTCCAATAAAGTAACGTTTTTAAGGCAAAGTACTGTGTTTTGAAAATGCCTGCATAAAAAGCCATCCATTCTTCGTGGAGTATGGTTAAAGTTGAATAAAGTAACGTTTTACTGACAAAGTACTGTGTTTTGAAAAGACTACACAAAAATTCATCCATTCTTCGTGGAGAAAAGTTAAAGTCCAATAAAGTAACGTTTTTAAGGCAAAGTACTGTGTTTTGAAAATGCCTGCATAAAAAGCCATCCATTCTTCGTGGAGTATGGTTAAAGTTGAATAAAGTAACGTTTTACTGACAAAGTACCGTGTTTTGAAAATACCTAATATAAAATCATCCATTCTTCTTGGAGATCGCGCAATTAAGTTACGTTTTTAAGGCAAAGTAACGTTAAGAATGCGTACATAAGAAGCATCCAATCTTATTAGAGAAAACTTAAAGTCTATTAAGGTAACGTTCTAAAGGCAAAGTAACGTGTTTTAGAAATGGCTACATAAAAAATCATCCATTGACAATGAACGAACGTTTTAAAGGCAAAGTAACGTGTTTTAAAATGCCTGCATAAAACATAATCTATTCTTCGTATAGATAATGATTATATCACCAGGTTTCAACAGCCAAGGTAGCCAACGTTCCTTAATTACTTTTCATAATAACAAAACGAAATAAACAGTACTTTTAAAATGTCAATATTTTCTGTCCCTATATCTTGACACTGTTGTTCGTATAGGGTAAAAATATCGAACACCAGTGCAGTGCACTCGGTAGGCTAAGTCTGTCAAGTCAATTCGCTACTTTATATCGGGGGAAATGTGGAACTTTGAAAGTTGGTAACCCTGCTAGGAACGTTAGGTACCCGGTCGACCGGTTTTTTACACAAACCCAAAACTGAAAGTTTTACTCAAAATATAGATCTATTTTCTTTCAATTGACTCTGCTTTCCTGGCCAGGATACTGTTTCCCACACAAATAGTAGATGCACTGATGATATCTTACTTTGCATAGTAAACTTTTCCTTCAAGAGTCACTCGTTCTTCCCAACCAGCAGGCATTTCATCCTCACTGTCACTATCCATGATTGAACCTTGAGCCGCCATTTTAAAGTATTCCCCGATGACGTCATAACTTTATAGGCAATTCCCGGCTTCTTTGGCTTTGAAAAGCGTGAATTGACTACCTTCCCTGTCCTATGTTTGTTAATGTTTTGAGATTATGACCGCTTCACTCTTGGGTACTCGATTTGAACATTTTTCAGCATATTTAAAGGATGGCAGTCATTTTTATCATTCAACAGCGCGAACAAAATACACTCCAAAAACTAGCGTTCGTAAATATAGTGTATCCAATTTATCTTGTTGCTGTAAAATTTCTTGAGGTCATAAAGCATACAATATCTGGAATATTTCATATTATATACGAACATATGCGTTATCCCATTCGATGTAAGTCTTAATTAGATACTATATACCGTATTTAAATGTATAAAGAAGCAGTAAGTAAGACGAAAACGGTATTTGATTTTTTGAAAAAATTCTAGAGGGTGATAATTGAGAGACTAAATTTTACTCTACCTTTTTCATGGCCACAGAGAACTATTTACAAATGTTCACATCATTTTCAATATATATTTTGATGAATGGATCAAAGGATCTGCTCCAAAAATCCAGTTCCAGGTTCGTTCAAAGTCTCCTAACAAGACAATGCAGGAAACTCCTCGAGTCGAGGTCTCTAAGTTAAAAAGTTGCCTGACCCTGTCTTACATCTGTTGATTATCCCTGTTTATTATAGCTGATTTAAGAGCATGGCACTGAACGAACCTATAATTGTTATTTTTTTAGTTTTTGGTTGGGTAATATGTTTATGACGTTTACTTCCTGCGAAAGCTATTTGGATTTTGATATAAATCTAACATGGGTCTCGAAGTGAGTAATATGACGTCACAAATGATGCAAAGAATTTTTAAACCAATCTGTGAAGTCTATATTAATTGTTTGTTTAGTTGTTGATGTGGAATTTGTATCTAAAATGACAAATAGGAACTTAAAAATTTGAAGTGGATATTCACGTGTTAGGCTTCAAACCTACAGCCCATTTCATTGTTTTATTTCGTCAGTAAAACCTAAAAAATAAGTACTGTTATCAAAAGATCATTATGCAATAATATATGGAAAAATATATTCCTATTGTACATAAATGACATTTGTATATCTTTGATTGCTTCTAGTTTGGCTAATAAAGTATGTGGCCTCTTATGTTTTGATGCTTCTCTGCCATAGTATTTTCAAAAAAGATTAACATGGCTGAAATTCTTTAAATTACAAGAGGGCATAGGCTTATTGCACAAAAAACTAAATAATCTGAAATATACAAATGTCATTCATGTACAATATGAATATACTTTTACATATATTATTGCACAATGGTCTCCTGATTTCTTATTTTTGGGGTTCTACTGACGAAATAAAATAGTGAAATGGGCTGTAACTCATCAGAAAATTAAATTTTACAAATTATTATCCAGTTTCGGGGATGAAGGTGTTAGTTAATGAAAAGACAATAAAATTTTGAATGAACCTAATCCACCCTTGGTATACGCAGCTAATGAAAATTGACCGGTACGGGTCAAAAAGCTGGACCGGTACGGGTTAACGGTTTTATTTGAATTTAAAACAGCCATAACTTGCTCTATATCGACTTCCTCGTGTCTAATTTGAAATATATGATGCCTCCCGATGCTTTTAAGTACCCCAACTTTTTACAGATTTTTAAACGGACCAAAACTCTCTAAATGCGCATTTATGCTCTTTTCTCTCGAGAACGACTGTCTCATTTTCACGATAACTTTTATTTAGTACTTCTAACATATAAGATCTATTTTCCCCATCAAGGTATGATGTAAATGACATGCTATTTACATCTTGTGAATTTCAATGACATGCGTTTGATTTTATAAAAAATGCCAAACTTTGTGACAAAGAATTTCATCCTGCTTGCAGCGAGAAGACGGACCGGTTCGGGGCAATAGCATGAACATAATTTAGGAATCTTTATACATGTGTGTTATTGCCCCGAACCGGTCCGTCTTCTCGCTGCAAGCAGGAGGAAATTCTTTGTCACAAAGTTTGGCATTTTTTATAAAATCAAACGCGCGTCATTGAAACTCACAAGATGTAAATAGCATGTCATTTACATCATACCTTGATGGGGAAAAACAGATCTTATATGTTAGAAGTACTAAATAAAAGTTATCGTGAAAATGAGACAGTCGTTCTCGAGAGAAAAGAGCATAAATGCGCATTTAGAGAGTTTTGGTCCGTTTAAAAATCTGTAAAAAATTGGGGTACTTAAAAGCATCGGGAGGCATCATATATTTCAAATTAGACACGAGGAAGTCGATATTGAGCAAGTTATGGCTGTTTTAAATTCAAATAAAACCGTTAACCCGTACCGGTCCAGCTTTTGACCCGTACCGGTCAATTTTCGTTAGCTGCGTATACCAAGGGTGTAATCTGTGTCGTCTAAAGAGTAAAAGTTGAAGAAAGAGATAAAAATAAGTTACGCCACAATCGGATTGAAAATAACATTTTCTAGCATTTGTAAAGTCGATGTTGTTCAGTTGTTTGTTTTGAATTTGTTGTGAACTGTTAATGACTCCGGAGATGAGACCAAAATGTTACTTTATCCAAATGTTATAGTAAAGAAGTCTAGACTTACTTGTACAGCAGATATTCGTCAGAAATGTAGAGAATTCAATTATTCACTCCGTGAAATATGGTCAACATAGACGACTGGGAAAAGGTACCCATTGGCAAGATCTGAGGTGTGTTCAGCGTTTCCTTAAACTGATAAACAAGAAATTGTTTTACTGATAATTCCATGGTTTACTTTTAGGTGTCGTATCTGACAATGGGAGTTTGGCTTGTAGTAGCAGGTTTGGCTGTTCACATTGTATTCTTCTACTCCATCTTTGATATCTACTTCACCTCTCCCCTTGTTCATGGCATGACTCCACACTCCGTTCCATTAAAACCACCTGCTAAACGATTGCTACTCTTTGTGGCTGATGGCCTGAGAGCAGATAAATTCTTTGAGCTGGAAGAAGATGGTTCAAGTAGAGCACCATTTTTAAGGTATATAGGGATCTACCATTTACCAGGAACTCTTATGTATAATTAGTAGGGGGCATCTTTATTCAATCCAACTTAATGGCTCACACAATATATCAATGGCTTAAATTTCAGAATTTTCACATGATCTGCACACTTGCACAGCATTCAGACTGATGGAAACTAAGTGAACAAACATGTGATCTGAATAGCAAAATGTTCAAATAAAATATGTAAATGAAAATCCTTGATGTTTGAATACAGACAATTGTCAAGTACTTGGTGCTGACTCATCAGTTAAATCTATTGCCAAAAATATGTGCCTCTCTCATTGCCATGTGATTGATGTTTCCAAAGTTTAGTTGTTTTGTTTGCTAGGACCATAATAGAACAACGAGGGGCATGGGGAGTTTCGCATACCAGAGTGCCAACCGAGTCTAGGCCTGGACATGTTGCTCTCATTGCTGGTTTCTATGAGGATGTCAGTGCAGTGGCTAAAGGTATATATGTATATGTACATATTGTACATGTATATTGTTAAATAAAATGTAGTAAAAAACACTAGCCATCTGGTACATAGTTAGATCGGATAGTAATAAGTCTTTGCTAGTGTCTTACTAATTTGCTCTCACTCTTTGTTCAAGGATGGAAAGAAAATCCAGTTGAGTTTGACTCATTGTTCAATGAGAGCAGATACACCTGGTCCTGGGGCAGCCCAGATATCTTACCAATGTTCTCTAAAGGTAAGCTAACACAGAATTTGCAATATTGCAAGTTACTTGACTAACCTACATCCTGGTTGCTTTATCATGAAAAGAAAGTGGAAAATCGATGAGACAAGAATCTTGCCTACTTAAAGAGCCCTCTTATTGAATTATACTAGTACTGTATATGATTGGAAGACTTTAAAATGGAAAATCTGATATACAGAGAGGGCACAGTTGGGTATCTTTTATATACTGCCTTTGCCTTCTCTTGACCAGTGACCTTGAGACATTGGGCATAAGTGATGGGACGATGTTCTATCTGTGAACTGTAATGAGACAATCAAACATCCTTTTTTATAGGTCCTAACTTTTTGTCCTAACTGTGGCCTATGGGCCAAGAACTATGTGATATTTTTGATGAATATTTAAAATCTATTATCAAAAAAATTTACGTACCACCAGCTAGTTTTATGCATTGACTAAGTGTCAGTGTTTAAAAATGAATGCAATAAATATAAAATTTAGAAAAGGTGTGACAAGGTGTGTCCGATTCCAGCCAATCCAAACATGTATTTCATATAACTGCAGTGCATTATATAATCAATCAATGCATGCAAGGTCATTCCTTATGTGATTGTCAAGGTGGCAGCTTGATTCTACAGATTGAAGTTTTGTTGAAAATTTGTTCTTTTACTGATTTCGCATGTTTTAAGTGACAAAATTGGTAGAAAATTTTTATAGTATGTGAAAAGAATTAAAGCCCAAGACTCCAAGCATTGTGGAATACTCATTCCTTTCAGGCGCATCCTCCTAAGCAGGTATCCAGAATCCGTACCTCCTTCTTCCCCCTGCTATAACCAATTTGGAAGCGCACGATTAAACTGAATCACGTGATCTAATTATGCGCAATGACTTATACATGATTTCTGTCGCAGTGTTGCGACAGCCAATCATATTGCGAGTTCGTAATCGGGGAAATGCTAACTGCTTATAGCAGGGTGTAAAAAGAAAGAAGAAATTCTGGATTTTGAAGCCCTGTGATCGGAGGATGTTCAGGCGTTGTTTCCTTAAATTAACTCTCGATGCTGCGGATCTCATGCAAAATTTGAAAAGCAACACCTTCAATGAATGCTCATTCCACATTCCAATGAATCCAGGGCTTAAATCCTTAAATAAAAAAATAAAATAAAAATAGTAAAAAGGGCTGAGTACATGTTGGTGGAATTACTGCAAAGTATTACTGTACACAACCTATAATATCAATTTAAAGCAGCATTCTTAAAAATGTATCTCTGTGGACAAAGACTTTGCCTTTGCATGGGATATGCTATATAGGTCAATATTTTCAATATTTCAAATTAATTTGATACTCTGCCTCATATGCTTTTCTCCCAACCTATAAGTTTCTTTGTACTTTAGGTGCATCTGGTGACCATGTGTTTATAGATATGTATCCCTCTGAAAGTGAAGACTTTGCTGGAAGTGACACCTCAAAGCTTGATACTTGGGTGTTTGACAGAGTCAAGGTACTGCTGGTATAAAACCAACATATTCATTAAATTGTATTTGATATATATTTTTGCTAGAATCCAAGTTTTTTAATTATTGTTTATGTAAATGTAGTACAATTTGGATCAAAAACACTGTGACAAAAAATTTCAGTCCTCCCTCAAATGTTAGCCTATGGAATCACCCACTTGTTCATCTGTCCATCTGTCTGTTTGCCTATTATGTGACTGCCAGAAGTGGTGACATATTGTTTTAGTCTCCAACTTTTTTGTGGGTGGTGTTTGGCAATTGGTTGGCATTTGCTGTTTGATGGTCTGTTACAAATTCTTACAACTTCCAATAAATTAACAAGTACTTTTAGACTGACTTCTAATCTTTACTGCCATCGATGTAAGTTACAACACATCTCTGCCAATATATGTTACCATTGCAACATATTGAAGGTAAAAAGGTCTTTTTTCAACTTGCTTCAAGTTGACCAAATCAACCAACCTAGTAACTTATTAATAACTTGTATGTTACTTTTACAGGATTTTCTCTCAGAAGGACGTAAGAATGTCACTCTTGGTAACATGCTTCACCAGGACAAGTTGGTGTTCTTTCTACATCTGCTAGGCATAGATACAAATGGCCACTCACACAAGCCTTATTCAAAGTGAGTTGATTCTTACAGTTTTAAGCCTGGTGATATCTGTCACAAGCTTGTGAATATATGTATTTGGCTGGTCAAGTGTACACCTCCCGCATCCCAGGATGGATGGATCTCAAATTCAACAAGTTGGCCAGGGGCAAAAATTCTTTTTCCCTGCAAAAGGCCCTTCTTGTACTATTATCCACTTTTTGCATATTATTGCCCAGTTTTTACAGAAATTAAGGCCACTCAGATCTGGCATCACATACTATGTGGGGAGATATTGTCTCTCCTTCTGCTTGACTTAATATATTCCTGTCTGTCAGTTTTAACCAAAATTCTAAAATCCCTGTTTAGCACAACTATACTTCTCAGACAATTTTAATATTTTAATTTACTAATGAAAGATGAACTTGCTACAAATTATAAAACTGATCTTTCTAGGGAATATTTAGATAATATTCGGATAGTGGATTCTGGAATCCGAGAACTCACCTCCCTTATTGAAGAGTTCTATGAGCATGATGGAAGAACTGCATACATCATGTCAGCAGACCATGGCATGACAGACTGGGGTAAATGCACTTAATATTAAAGTAATGCTCTGAAACTTTTTTCAACCAACTGAAAATTGTCAGTGAAAAATTGGAGATGCGACATTTTAGAAAATGAGAACTGGAAATGCCACTCTACTGCTAAAATATATGTCTTTCAATTTATAATTTTTGACACTACATGTATCTGATTTGGGATTGTATTAATTGTAGGTTCCCATGGCGCCAGTCACCCATCTGAAACCTTGACACCCCTTGTAGCTTGGGGGGCAGGGGTAAGAGGGCCAAATATGGGGGAAGATATTCAAGAGAAACAAGCATTCCGTGATACTTTCTCTCAAGGTAGGCATTACATTTTTAAACTAACATGGAATGGACTGTATACAATTTTGGTTTGGTTCAGATATTCGAAGTGTCAATATTATACATATTGGTTGGTCCAATTTTATCCTTTAAATATGCACACTAGTGTCTGTTTAAAATCATTTGAAATCTATAGCTCATTAAAAAATATTGCACATCTACAAATCTCTGATTTTGTAATCTAAAAAGATATTTTCAAGAAATTCCAATATCCAAGATTTGGTTCCATTTTTCTCATTTTAAACTACCGGTATCTTGTTCAAATATTATTCAAGGAAAATGCAACCAACTTGTGAACAGAAGGTTCCTTAATCTAACTTCATTTTTCCAGATTGGGACTTATCACATATATCAAGGAAGGACGTAGAGCAGGCAGATATTACATCTTTGATGGCTGCCCTTATAGGCACGTCATTCCCTGTCAATTCTGTGGTATGTAGTCATAGTAACAAAGCACTCATTATGAAATTAAGAGCTTTGCTAGAAAAACCCAAAAAATGCTTATAGTTTATTTATTTTCCACCATTTTCTCTCAATTAAACCTTTTATTTTTGTCAAGTCGATTTTGTGACTGTTACTTTTTTTTTTGTAAAATAGTAATAACTCCAGGACTAATTTTAAAATGACTGAAAATTCTATACACCTATTGACATGTTATGGTGGTTTTAGGTAATGTCTTGTAAAATTGTAAACCTTTTCATTGATTTGGTCATTGTGGCATTGGTTAAAGGCAGAATCAGATCTATAGGGGTGACAAAGTTACAAGCAACATGTACACTTGACCTACCAATAATCGATTCCTTACAATCTCAAAGACAATATCTCACAAAAGATTCATCATATGTTATAAATTGGTAAAGTTATTATAGATTCAAAGTGCAAAAATGGGTGAAAATAATAAGAATGGTAACCATTCTTATAGAAAATAATACATGATGGTAAAAATCTTAGTTTTCCTTGAATAAAGTTTGCACTTTTGTGATTTTTAGAAAATAGACATGACAAGGAATGACATGAACCAGAAATATTCTAAAATTGAAATAATGTTTTTGTTTACCTGCCACTATAGTGCTGTCCCTAGGTCTGATTTCGTTACTCGGCTCGGAAAAAAGGTTTGTGGGTATCATTTTGTTCCAGACACTCTCTAGAATAAATTCATCTTGGGTGGAGTAAATATGTGTGGTAAACGAATTTGCTATGGGCAGTTAAAGAGGCGCCATCTATTCATTTTCAAACAGGGGGTAGGGGTATAAAATAATTTTTTAACACATTTTAATAGTAAAATGACATTGAAATACTAATAAAATCTTATCAAAAACATTATTTACAATCAGTACGAATTTTCTTGTGTGGCTTAGGGTGAAAATAAGGGCATATCTTGAAATTCACTACAGGGGTGCCACCTATTTTTGTACTTCTACCACATGTAATAACTTATTTTAGATTCGTTAAGGTACGAAATGTACTGAAAAAATTCATTCTGAAGGACCTATATATGTTCATACCACATACTTAAAATTAGATCAATAGCTTATGTACCGGCGGAGAAAAAAATTATTGAAATTTAAAATTATGTTATCATGCAGGATAGGGGTGACCATATCTCACATTATTTACTTCCAAAATATGGAGCATATGTATCTCAAATGTGCTCAAAATGTTGTATGTACTCTTGCTATGTCATAATATTACTAATAAGAAGTAGAAAAATGATTGTACATTTTAGAAATTATTAATTCTCATTTTGGCTTCTGACATCCCAGGGGTGACCATATCTCACCTTTATAACTTCCAAAATATGGAGCATATGTATCTCAAATGTGGTCAAAATGGTGTATGTACTCTTGCTTCGTCATAATATATGTAATAAGAAGTAAGAAAATGATTGTACATTTAAAAAAATATTAATTCTCATTTTGGCTTCTGACGTCCCAGGGGTGACCATATGTCACCTTAATAACTTCCAAAATATTGAGCATATGTATCTCAAATGTGCTCAAAATGGTGTATGTACTCTTGCTTTGTCATAATATTAGTAATAAGAAGTAGAAAAATGATTGTACATTTTAGAAATTATTAATTCTCATTTTGGCTTTTGACGTCCCAGGGGTGACCATATCTCACATTAATAACTTCCAAAATATGGAGCATATGTATCTCAAATGTACTCAAAATGGTGTATGTACTCTTGCTTTGTCATAATATTACACTAATAAGATGTAGGAATATGATTATACATTTAAAATTTTTTAATTTTACCTTCTTACGTTCCTTGGTAATCATATTGCAACATATAATAATAATAATAACTTCTAAGATATGTAACATATACGCCTCAAATATTCTCAGAAAAGTCTTGTCTTTCATATTACTAATGAAATGTAGAAAAATGATTGCATTTTTAAAAAAAATTAATTTTAGCCTCTGGTGTCCCACCTTGATAACTCTCATGATATGCAACTTATGCATCTCAAATGTGTGCTCAAAATGGTATAAATATAGTCTTGTTTTGTCATATTTATTTAGAATCATAAAATCAACAGTTCAGAATCAATGGATTTTGACTGTCTTCTCTACAGCTACATATAATTCAGGGCAAATAATATCTGCTTTCAAATATTTGCATCTGCTCCCCAAACACCCCTTACAGGTACAATGGATGAGATTATTCCCTTGCATAATTACTTGGACCAAACATCTTTTGTAATCCATACAGGAATCCTTTTAGCCTATCAATAGTGGGAGTACTTTACTCCATTTATGAAGTAATGGCAAATGTTGATAAGGTGTTAATATGTTATCCTGTGGCCTGCAATATATGCACCTTGGATCATACACTGAATTTAGGGATTTTGAGTAAGTAAAAAACGGGAAAAGGAGCTCTTTGTAATGATAAATCTTTCTAGCCACATTCTCTAGTTTTCATGTTTGTCATACAACATACATTGATTGTATTGAAATATTAATTTATGATTGTGATGTCCCGCACTTCTAGGGTCCCAGAGAAGAGCTTAGCTTTTGGAACACTTGCATTACTCTTGGCATGATAGGCCATACAGTGAATACAATTGTTGAGATGGGGCAAGAACAATATAGCACATTCGACAAAAGGCAACTTGAAAACCTAACAGTACCATTTGATAGAACCATATCCAGGAACAAAGTTCTTCAGTTTATTAGGCCTCCAAAACCTCCATTCATAACAGATTATGGAAAACTATAGTTCCTCCATTAAATTAAATTTTGAATGACCATGCCAAAAATTAGATCATTAACATGCTAAAACCCAACAGTGAAAATATGCAGAACGTGAACATAAATGATTGTGCAAATTAAGTAATATTTCTTCCCCACATATAAAACATAGAAATGGAACAAGGGAGAAGGTATATCATACTAATTCTCTTGTAAATTTCCTAAGATGTGCCAAGAACAAGAGTGATCTGTTTTCCTTCCAGACATCAAAACTTTATGCTAAAAAACTGAAAGTGTCAATTTGGATTGCATACTGAAAGAGGAAATCTTATCAGTATCTACCTTCCCATGATATTATTGCAGAATATGGCCATGGCAAAACTTTAGCCCTTTCCTTATGCAATCATTGCATGTGATGCCATATCTGCATTCTAATACTGTTCTAAATCATCCGATTTCCGATCTGGATTTCTTCTGATACATGTACCATAGAATGAGAAACGTTGCAGTTATAAAGTCATTTGTAATTCTGATATATGACAAAACATGCAAACTAGAGAATGTCAATCGGGATTAGAAGCAACTTATCGCCCTTGTAATTTAGCAGTGGGACAGTTTGGTGTATGTTTGGGCATAAATGCGCCTTTAAGGCCTAATTTATCAGGATATTTTCAAAATTTCGGGTCAGATTTGGGGTTAAGGGGCCAATTTTGGTAAATGAGGCTAGGCTACTCACACTACTGATAGGCTACCAGTATACAAAAGATGTTGCATCCAAGGCATGCAAAAGACTTATCGTCCATTGTTTGGGGAGAAGATGCAAATATTTGAAAGTAGATCTTATTGTCTCTGGGCTATATGTAGCTGCATCCTTCAGGGGAGACAGTCAAATCCATAAATTCTGAACTTCTGATTTTATGAATCTCAATAAATATGACAAAACAAGACTATATTTATACCATTTTGGGCACGCATTTGAGATGCATATGTTGCATACTGTGAGAGTTATATCAAGGTGAGATATAGTTGCCCCTGGGATGTCAGATTCGGAAGCTAAAATGAAAATTTCAATTCAAAAAAGGTGTAATAATTTTTTCTACATCTCATGAATAATATTATGACAAAGCAAGACCATATGCCCCATTTTTGGTATATTTGAGTTGTATATGTTACATAATTTTAGAAGTTATTGAGGGACGTCAGAAGCTAAAATTAAAATTAACATTTTTTAAATGTATAATCATATTCCTACATCTTATTAGTATAATATTATGACAAAGCAAGAGTACATACACCATTTTGAGTACATTTGAGATACATATGCTCCATATTTTGGAAGTTATTAAGGTGAGATATGGTCACCCCTGGGACGTCAGAAGCCAAAATGAGAATTAGTATTTTTTTAAATGTACAATCATTTTCCTACATCTTATTAGTAATATTATGACGATACAGGATTATATACACCATTTTGAGCACATTTGAGATACATATGCTCCATATTTTGGAAATTATTAAGGTGAGATATGGTCACCCCTAGAACGTCAGAAGCTAAAATGAAAATTAATATTTTTAAAAATGTACAATCATTTTCTTACATCTTATTAGTAATATTATGACTAGACAAGACTATAAACACCCTGGAACGTCAGAAGCTAAAATGAAAATTAATTTTTTTTAAAATGTATCATCATTTTTCTACATATTATTAGTAATATTATGACAAGGCAAGACTATATACACCATTTTGAGCATATTTGAGATACATATGCTCCATATTTTGGAAGTTAATAATGTGAGATATGGTCACCCCCTATCCTGAATGATGCCACAATTTTAAATTTCAATAATTTTTTTCTCCGAAGGTATAAAAGCTATTGATCTAATTTTAAGTATGTGGTATGAACATATATAGGTCCTTCAGAATGAATTTTTTCAGTTCATTTTGTACCTTAACGAATCTAAAATAAGTTATTACACGTGGTAGAAGTACGAAAATAGGTGGCGCCCCTGTAGTGAATTTCAAGATATGCCCTTTTTTTCACCCTAATACACACAAGAAAATTCATACTGATTGTAAATAATGTTTTTGATAAGATTTTATTAGTATTTCAATGTCATTTTACTATTAAAATGTGTTAAAAAATTATTTTATACCCCTACCCCCTGTTTGAAAATGAATAGATGGCGCCTCTTTAACTGCCCATAGCAAATTCGTTTACCACACATTTTTACTCCACCCAAGATGAATTTATTCTAGAGAGTGTCTGGAACAAAATGATACCCACAAACCTTTTTTCCGAGCCGAGTAACGAAATCAGACCTAGGGACAGCACTACTAGATCTGATTCTCTCTTTAATAATCATCAAACTATTTTTGATTGTGTGATTGGTTTTCATTCTATTTTTAATCCCTCATTTGCAGGGTGTTCTTCCACTTGACTACATCAATGCTTCTGATGAGTTCAAAGCCCATGCAATCTTCACCAATACTCAACAGATCCTTGCCCAACTTACTATTAAAATGGCAGAGAAACAAGAAACAACACTATCATGGCTCTTCAGACCATATAAGGCATTACCAGTAGACAATCAAATCCAATTTGTGAAATCAATTCAGAGGAAAATCCATGGAAAGGAATACAGAGAGGCAATTGAAGACTCTAGGGAATTAATTAAACTTGCCTTAGATGGACTTGAGTATTACCATGGTTATGATAGACTATTCCTTGGGGCAAGTATAGCTATGGGCTACCTAGGTTGGATAACGTACATATTGACAATCATTATACAGGACTATACCAATATTGTTGCAACATCAAAAATTGCCCAATCTCAAGCAACATATCTGAGATCTGAAGAGGGGATTAGAACCATATTTGCAATTTTAGGTGCCATTGTGGCTTTTTTGCTTTATGTACAATCACTGCCTTGGACTCATTATATATACTGCTTACTTCCAATTATGCTTTGGAATGAAGCTTTACTCAAAATCAATGTGATATCTCAAGTGAAAGAATCTATAGAGGGTGTTGGCAATCTCATGATGATTATCTTCAAAGTGTTCGTTGCTGTGGCTGGACTTGAAATAATTGTGCTCACTTTTTTTTATCGTGAACTTTTAACTCTTGGACTTGTTGCTATGGCAATATGGCCCATTATGACATCACTTAGAAGTAGCAACAAAATGGTAGTAGTGTTTTGGAGTGTTTCCTGCTTATCTGTTGCTGTGTTTCCAATGCTTCCAGTGGTTGGCAGGGATACTGATTACCGACTAGTCTCGCTGGCGGGATGGACAATTCTGGCATTGGGTCTCTATGCATTCAGACAATTGAGTAAAAATGCGTTTTATAGCCCAATCAGATCAAATAAACTACATGTACTATTTTTTAGTCAGGTGAGTGTGTGCAAGCTGTTTATACATATGTAAAAATGTTTAACCTGTGTACTGTACAGTGTATATAAACAGCCACAAAACAGTAAATTTTCATAAAAATGTTGAGTATGAATAGGGCGAGTTATCATTAAATGGAAGTAGTGTGTTCAGTCAGTCAGCAGTTTAGTTCCTCGATAATTAACATGGATATTTAGAATCTCTTGAATTTGTTCTCTATTTGCAGCTAGTCACTTTAGGTGTGGCGATACTCATCTTGAATTCAACCTCCTCCAGCATTGCAAGCAAACAAGGCCTTCCATTGCTCAACCAGGGCCTCAGCTGGCTAATTTTAGGTAAACATTGTCAGCTGGCTGATTCTAAGTAAACATTTTACAAGGGCTCCCATTGCTCAACCAGGGCCTCAGCTGGCTAATTTTAGGTAAACATTGTCAGCTGGCTGATTCTAAGTAAACATTTTACAAGGGCTCCCATTGCTCAACCAGGGTCTCCGCTGGCTGATTCTAAGTAAACATTTTACAAGGGCTCCCATTGCTCAACCAGGGTCTCCGCTGGCTGATTCTAAGTAAACATTTTACAAGGGCTCCCATTGCTCAACCAGGGTCTCCGCTGGCTGATTCTAAGTAAACATTTTACAAGGGCTCCCATTGCTCAACCAGGGTCTCCGCTGGCTGATTCTAAGTAAACATTTTACAAGGGCTCCCATTGCTCAACCAGGGTCTCCGCTGGCTGATTCTAAGTAAACATTTTACAAGGGCTCCCATTGCTCAACCAGGGTCTCCGCTGGCTGATTCTAAGTAAACATTTTACAAGGGCTCCCATTGCTCAACCAGGGTCTCCGCTGGCTGATTCTAAGTAAACATTTTACAAGGGCTCCCATTGCTCAACCAGGGTCTCCGCTGGCTGATTCTAAGTAAACATTTTACAAGGGCTCCCATTGCTCAACCAGGGTCTCCGCTGGCTGATTCTAAGTAAACATTTTACAAGGGCTCCCATTGCTCAACCAGGGTCTCCGCTGGCTGATTCTAAGTAAACATTTTACAAGGGCTCCCATTGCTCAACCAGGGCCTCAGCTGGCTGATTGTTGGTATGGAATGTATCATTTCACTTATGTATATCATAGTAGCTAACTCCTTTAGAGTTATTTGGTCAAGAAATGCATGTTTGAAGATCACAAGATAGTGCATGTGGTTATCAAACATTACCACAGGATGGGGATTACAACATTTGTTCATGAATCTATCTGAATTCGAAAGCAATTTCAAAATTATTGTTTCTTATAAAAATGTACATAACCACTTTCTGTCAAAAACCTAATATTTTACTTGAATTGGTACCCATGTAAATAAAAGGCCTAATAATATAAGATGTATTTTCAGTGTTATCTGTGCTCCAGCCTCTATTAGGAAGTACACACATGGTTCCACGGCTACTCAGTCTAGGGGTGTCTCTCAGCGCCCCCTATATCCTACTCAGCATGTCGTATCCTTCAGTGCAACTTATACAAGTATAATGGTTTGGAAATAAAGTGGGGGAACAATAATGTCATGTGTAAGTGAAAGAGAGTAATTTTGAAGATGGGCACTGTTATTCTTTGTGATGTTTACATTCTATGCTACTGAAGATTGTTAACCTTGACATACTGTTGACCCCTCATGCTTTTGCTCATCAGGAACATCTTGGTTTAAAATAGATGGAGACATTTTGTCTATGATTCAGTTGACAGGTGTATGTCGGCACTCTTGCCAATGTAATGTTTTCCTATGTTTCCTTAACTATGGCAGTCATGAGGCACTGTTCTACTTGTCACTCTGCTGTTTGCTGTATGCCTGGCTACTAGTGGAATACAGCAATACATCACATACCATCAAGGTAGGTCATACTCTTCAACATATTTCATTCATGTACATGTATATACATGTACAGTTTATTTTCTCATTTCAATGAATTTATTTAAGCATCCTTGTTGATATAATCAAAACGTATGTAGAATTTAGGTTATGTTTTTGAAACCATCTGCATTTTATATAAACTTTGAACTGAAACCTGCATTTTGATACTCTGTTCAATTTCTAGTATAGTCTGGGATGGTGTGTTGCCATAATATGTAATATGTGCAATTATTGTGTCCATGTATTTTAGGCCAATGAGCTAGACTTTAGCAAGGGCAGCGTGCTTGGAGAACCTACAAGAAATCTACACACAGCTGATCTCAGAGTGGCATATTTCTTTGTATCCTTAACACTGACATTTATTATTTTCATGATGTTATGTCCATGATCAGAAAGAACTACATGTATTTAAAAAATGCTTCCGTATTTGGTAAGTGATATTATATAATATTTTTCAAATCATGGTTAATAAAATAACACCATCCTCCATTTTTCTTAACTGCTGCAGGTATTTTTCATTTTGACAGCATTTTTTGGAACAGGAAATATAGCCAGCATTAACAGCTTTGACCCAGTGTCCGTATACTGCTTCCTAACCATCTTTAACCCTTTCATTATGGGAGCACTCATGCTTTGGAAGGTGAGTAACATATCTATGTACTGCTTCCTTCCTTTCCCTATTGAACTGTTACTCCATTTTTTCCAAGAAAACCTGGTGCAATGTAATTTATTTTATTTTGGAGTAAAACAAAATTGTAATGGTCAAACGGTAGCACTTGAGGCCAAATTGAATTTCAATCAAAATTAAAGCAAAAACCAAATTAAATACAGGTAGTGCAAAAATAAATATTGTATTTTATATTCTTCAGATACATGTGAAAATCTTTTTGAATCAAATTGGGTATAGGTACAGAGGGTCTTTATGATAATGACCATCCTTCATCAACCGACAATCCTAGATAGCACATTCACATGTACATTCAGAGCTATACTTACATATCTAACATTGCATTGTTTCAGATTGTGATTCTATTCATCCTGGTCAGATGTATGTACATTCAGTGCTATACATATCTAAAATTGCATTGTTTCAGATTGTGATTCTATTCATCCTGGTCACATATACATTCAGTGCTATACATATCTAACATTGCATTGTTTCAGATTGTGATTCTATTCATCCTGGTCACATATACATTCAGTGCTATACATATCTAACATTGCATTGTTTCAGATTGTGATTCCATTCAACCGGATCACATATTCAGTGCAATACATATCTAACATTGCATTGTTTCAGATTGTGATTCTATTCATCCTGGTCACATATACATTCAGTGCTATACATATCTAACATTGCATTGTTTCAGATTGTGATTCTATTCATCCTGGTCACATGTACATTCAGTGCTATACATATCTAACATTGCATTGTTTCAGATTGTGATTCTATTCATCCTGGTCACATGTACATTCAGTGCTATACATATCTAACATTGCATTGTTTCAGATTGTGATTCTATTCATCCTGGTCACATATACATTCAGTGCTATACATATCTAACATTGCATTGTTTCAGATTGTGATTCTATTCATCCTGGTCACATGTATGTACATTCAGTGCTATACATATCTAACATTGCATTGTTTCAGATTGTGATTCTATTCATCCTGGTCACATGTACATTCAGTGCTATACATATCTAACATTGCATTGTTTCAGATTGTGATTCTATTCACCCTGGTCACATATACATTCAATGCAATGCATATCTAATATTGCATTGTTTCAGATTGTGATTCTATTCATCCTGGTCACATGTACATTCAGTGCTATACATATCTAACATTGCATTGTTTCAGATTGTGATTCTATTCATCCTGGTCACATGTACATTCAGTGCTATACATATCTAACATTGCATTGTTTCAGATTGTGATTCTATTCATCCTGGTCACATGTACATTCAGTGCTATACATATCTAACATTGCATTGTTTCAGATTGTGATTCTATTCATCCTGGTCACATGTACATTTAGTGCTATACATATCTAACATTGCATTGTTTCAGATTGTGATTCTATTCATCCTGGTCACATGTACATTCAGTGCTATACATATCTAACATTGCATTGTTTCAGATTGTGATTCTATTCATCCTGGTCACATATATGTACATTCAGTGCTATACATATCTAACATTGCATTGTTTCAGATTGTGATTCTATTCATCCTGGTCACATATACATTCAGTGCTATATATATCTAAAATTGCATTGTTTCAGATTGTGATTCTATGCATCCTGGTCACATATACATTCAGTGCTATACATATCTAACATTGCATTGTTTCAGATTGTGATTCTATTCATCCTGGTCACATGTACATTCAGTGCTATATATATCTAACATTGCATTGTTTCAGATTGTGATTCTATTCATCCTGGTCACATGTACATTCAGTGCTATACATATCTAACATTGCATTGTTTCAGATTGTGATTCTATGCATCCTGGTCACATATACATTCAGTGCTATACATATCTAACATTGCATTGTTTCAGATTGTGATTCTATTCATCCTGGTCACATATACATTCAGTGCTATACATATTTAACATTGCATTGTTTCAGATTGTGATTCTATTCATCCTGGTCATATATTCAGCGCTATATATATCTAACATTGCACTGTTTCAGATTCTGATTCTATTAAACTGGTCACATATTCAGTGCTATACATATCTAACATTGCATAGTTTCAGATTCTGATTCTATTAAACTGGTCACATATTCAGTGCAATACATATCTAACATTGTATTGTTTCAGATTCTGATTCTATTAAACTGGTCACATATTCAGTGCAATACATATCTAACATTGCATTGTTTCAGATTCTGATTCTATTAAACTGGTCACATATTCAGTGCAATACATATCTAACATTGTATTTTCAGTTTCAGATTGTGATTCTATGCATCCTGGTCACATATACATTCAGTGCTATACATATATAACATTGCATTGTTTCAGATTGTGATTCTATTCATCCTGGTCACATTTACATTCAGTGCTATACATATCTAACATTGCATTGTTTCAGATTGTGATTCTATTCATCCTGGTCACATATACATTCAGTGCTATACATATCTAACATTGCATTGTTTCAGATTGTGATTCTATTCATCCTGGTCACATATACATTCAGTGCTATACATATCTAACATTGCATTGTTTCAGATTGTGATTCTATTCATCCTTGTCACATGTACATTCAGTGCTATACATATCTAACATTGCATTGTTTCAGATTGTGATTCTATTCATCCTGGTCACATATACATTCAGTGCTATACATATCTAACATTGCATTGTTTCAGATTGTGATTCTATTCATCCTGGTCAAATGTACATTCAGTGCTATACATATCTAACATTGCATTGTTTCAGATTGTGATTCTATTCATCCTGGTCACATATACATTCAGTGCTATACATATCTAACATTGCATTGTTTCAGATTGTGATTCTATTCATCCTGGTCACATATACATTCAGTGCTATACAAATCTAACATTGCATTGTTTCAGAGTGTGATTCTATTCATCCTGGTCACATGTACATTCAGTGCTATATATATCTAACATTGCATTGTTTCAGATTGTGATTCTATTCATCCTGGTCACATATACATTCAATGCAATACATATCTAACATTGCATTGTTTCAGATTGTGATTCTATTCATCCTGGTCACATGTACATTCAGTGCTATATATATCTAATATTGCATTGTTTCAGATTGTGATTCTATTCATCCTGGTCACATGTACATTCAGTACTATATATATCTAACATTGCATTGTTTCAGATTGTGATTCTATTCATCCTGGTCACATGTACATTCAGTGCTATACATATCTAACATTGCATTGTTTCAGATTGTGATTCTATTCATCCTGGTCACATATACATTCAATGCAATACATATCTAATATTGCATTGTTTCAGATTGTGATTCTATTCATCCTGGTCACATATACATTCAATGCAATACATATCTAATATTGCATTGTTTCAGATTGTGATTCTATTCATCCTGGTCACATATACATTCAGTGCTATACATATCTAACATTGCATTGTTTCAGATTGTGATTCTATTCATCCTGGTCAAATGTATGTACATTCAGTGCTATACATATCTAACATTGCATTGTTTCAGATTGTGATTCTATTCATCCTGGTCACATGTATGTACATTCAGTGCTATACATATCTAACATTGCATTGTTTCAGATTGTGATTCTATTCATCCTTGTCACATGTACATTCAGTGCTATACATATCTAACATTGCATTGTTTCAGATTGTGATTCTATTCATCCTGGTCACATATACATTCAGTGCTATACATATCTAACATTGCATTGTTTCAGATTGTGATTCTATTCATCCTGGTCAAATGTACATTCAGTGCTATACATATCTAACATTGCATTGTTTCAGATTGTGATTCTATTCATCCTGGTCACATATACATTCAATGCAATACATATCTAACATTGCATTGTTTCAGATTGTGATTCTATTCATCCTGGTCACATATACATTCAGTGCAATACATATCTAACATTGCATTGTTTCAGATTGTGATTCTATTCATCCTGGTCACATATACATTCAATGCAATACATATCTAACATTGCATTGTTTCAGATTGTGATTCTATTCATCCTGGTCACATGTACATTCAGTGCTATATATATCTAATATTGCATTGTTTCAGATTGTGATTCTATTCATCCTGGTCACATGTACATTCAGTGCTATATATATCTAACATTGCATTGTTTCAGATTGTGATTCTATTCATCCTGGTCACATGTACATTCAGTGCTATACATATCTAACATTGCATTGTTTCAGATTGTGATTCTATTCATCCTGGTCACATGTATGTACATTCAGTGCTATACATATCTAACATTGCATTGTTTCAGATTGTGATTCTATTCATCCTGGTCACATATACATTCAATGCAATACATATCTAATATTGCATTGTTTCAGATTGTGATTCTATTCATCCTGGTCACATATACATTCAATGCAATACATATCTAATATTGCATTGTTTCAGATTGTGATTCTATTCATCCTGGTCACATATACATTCAATGCAATACATATCTAATATTGCATTGTTTCAGATTGTGATTCTATTCATCCTGGTCACATATACATTCAATGCAATACATATCTAACATTGCATTGTTTCAGATTGTGATTCTATTCATCCTGGTCACATGTATGTACATTCAGTGCTATACATATCTAACATTGCATTGTTTCAGATTGTGATTCTATTCATCCTGGTCACATATACATTCAATGCAATACATATCTAATATTGCATTGTTTCAGATTGTGATTCTATTCATCCTGGTCACATGTACATTCAGTGCTATACATATCTAACATTGCATTGTTTCAGATTGTGATTCTATTCATCCTGGTCACATATACATTCAATGCAATACATATCTAACATTGCATTGTTTCAGATTGTGATTCTATTCATCCTGGTCACATGTACATTCAGTGCTATACATATCTAACATTGCATTGTTTCAGATTGTGATTCTATTCATCCTGGTCACATGTATGTACATTCAGTGCTATACATATCTAATATTGCATTGTTTCAGATTGTGATTCTATTCATCCTGGTCACATGTACATTCAGTGCTATACATATCTAACATTGCATTGTTTCAGATTGTGATTCTATTCATCCTGGTCACATGTACATTCAGTGCAATACATATCTAACATTGCATTGTTTCAGATTGTGATTCTATTCATCCTGGTCACATGTACATTCAGTGCTATATATATCTAATATTGCATTGTTTCAGATTGTGATTCTATTCATCCTGGTCACATGTACATTCAGTGCTATATATATCTAACATTGCATTGTTTCAGATTGTGATTCTATTCATCCTGGTCACATGTACATTCAGTGCTATACATATCTAATATTGCATTGTTTCAGATTGTGATTCTATTCATCCTGGTCACATGTATGTACATTCAGTGCTATACATATCTAACATTGCATTGTTTCAGATTGTGATTCTATTCATCCTGGTCACATATACATTCAGCGCTATACATATCTAATATTGCATTGTTTCAGATTGTGATTCTATTCATCCTGGTCAAATGTACATTCAGTGCTATACATATCTAATATTGCATTGTTTCAGATTGTGATTCTATTCATCCTGGTCACATGTACATTCAGTGCTATACATATCTAACATTGCATTGTTTCAGATTGTGATTCTATTCATCCTGGTCACATATACATTCAGTGCTATACATATCTAACATTGCATTGTTTCAGATTGTGATTCTATTCATCCTGGTCACATGTATGTACATTCAGTGCTATACATATCTAACATTGCATTGTTTCAGATTGTGATTCTATTCATCCTGGTCACATATACATTCAATGCAATACATATCTAATATTGCATTGTTTCAGATTGTGATTCTATTCATCCTGGTCACATATACATTCAATGCAATACATATCTAATATTGCATTGTTTCAGATTGTGATTCTATTCATCCTGGTCACATATACATTCAATGCAATACATATCTAATATTGCATTGTTTCAGATTGTGATTCTATTCATCCTGGTCACATATACATTCAATGCAATACATATCTAACATTGCATTGTTTCAGATTGTGATTCTATTCATCCTGGTCACATGTATGTACATTCAGTGCTATACATATCTAACATTGCATTGTTTCAGATTGTGATTCTATTCATCCTGGTCACATATACATTCAATGCAATACATATCTAACATTGCATTGTTTCAGATTGTGATTCTATTCATCCTGGTCACATGTACATTCAGTGCTATACATATCTAACATTGCATTGTTTCAGATTGTGATTCTATTCATCCTGGTCAAATGTACATTCAGTGCTATACATATCTAATATTGCATTGTTTCAGATTGTGATTCTATTCATCCTGGTCACATGTACATTCAGTGCTATACATATCTAACATTGCATTGTTTCAGATTGTGATTCTATGCATCCTGGTCACATATACATTCAGTGCAATACATATCTAACATTGCATTGTTTCAGATTGTGATTCTATTCATCCTGGTCACATGTACATTCAGTGCTATACATATCTAACATTGCATTGTTTCAGATTGTGATTCTATTCATCCTGGTCACATATACATTCAATGCAATACATATCTAACATTGCATTGTTTCAGATTGTGATTCTATTCATACTGGTCACATGTACATTCAGTGCAATATATATCTAACATTGCATTGTTTCAGATTGTGATTCTATGCATCCTGGTCACATGTACATTCAGTGCTATACATATCTAACATTTCATTGTTTCAGATTGTGATTCTATGCATCCTGGTCACATATACATTCAGTGCTATACATATCTAACATTGCATTGTTTCAGATTGTGATTCTATTCATACTGGTCACATGTACATTCAGCGCTATACATGTCATCCTCAATGTGCCAACCAAGAGCCTATTTATGGTGGTCCTTCTCATGTCAGACTTCATGGCACTGGTAAGATATACAGTAACATTGTCAATTAAGTCAACATATGCTTTAGGCTCTTCTTGGTAGCTCCCTTGATACCAGGTATCAATTTTAAAATCAAAATGTCAACACTTTCCAGGGAGAGTGTAACTCATGAGTTGATTGATATTCATATTCAATGCTAGATGACATTAAAACAAGACATGGATATTGAAATAAGTAAAGGCCTGAACTGCCGTCATTTGGCCTATTAATGTCATGGTGACATCCTATTTTAATTAAATACACACTTTACATGTATGTGTGTATCTTTATACATGCACTGTATATCCCCTCTAAATTCTTATCATTGTACACATAGTTCAACTCGCACATTTTTTACTTTCAGCACTTCTTTTTCCTGGTTCGTGATTCTGGGAGTTGGTTAGAGATTGGCACAAGTATCAGCCATTATGTGATCGTCATGACAATGATTATATTTCTCATGTTGTTACTTGGAATAGCAAAGGTGTTCACAACATTCCAATTTACATGCACTTCAAGGAGGAAATCTCATTTTCAATAATGTATTTAGAGAAGTCCCATCGTCAGTGGAACAGAGAGAGAGGGGGGGGAGGCCAAGGCGGAAAGGGAAAGGTTAAGTGCCATGATCATAAAGACATTCAACACATTTGGTAAAGCTGATACAATTGATGATTGTGCATATAATTTCAAATTAATCCCAATGCTATGTCATATTGATTACAAAATTGAACATAATCCATGTGAGCCACTTTATAGTTTCACCCTTAAATGTTTATTTACTCTTAATTTTATGTATTACAGTAAGTTTAATTTAAATTAATCTTTTGCCATCTTTACAAGATACAATGTATATGCTAGATGTTTTTAGGAAATCAAATTCAGTGTATGTAAAGCTAAAATACAGTATTGGTAAAGGTTTAATAACTGATCTTGAATGGATGGGACAGCCAGATGAGTTTTGTAGTACTTGATCAATGATCATGTGAATAGGATACTCATGAACATGTTTCGTTTCCCTGTCTGTCAATTAGCTCTATACTGGTGACAAAATCAAGGTGTTATATTATTCATATAACCTTTGGAGCATTTATTTTAACTTAGTTTTATTCTATCCTCTACAATGAAAATGAAGTGGAATATGTATACTGTATGTGCAGTGTCATATATTTTGCATTATTATATCATTGCTAGAATTGATGTAATTTTATTGGTTTATATAATATAAAACCATGTGATCAAAAGTGCCACAGCATATTTCATATTTCCCTCAAGTTTTGGAATGATAAAGACATATGTTATATAGTGTTAAACAAGATACTGTACAATACAATACAATACAATACAATACAATACAATACAATACAATACAGTATAGGCTACTGAATTTTATTAAGTGTGTAAAGGAGAACCTTGATTATGTACATATATTTAATGACTTTTTTAACAATTGTATTTTCATACCGAAATGTCATTTTGCTTGTATAGATCTTTTATGTGCAGAAATACATATACACCGAAAAGTCAAAAGTATTGCTTGTGTTTAAAAACAAAAGACAAGAACTTAATGATCAAAGCCCTTCCATGACCTACATGTATTATGTATTACCACCAATGCTAATATGATACCGTAAATACACTTATTTTGACGTACTTAATTTGACAGATTTGCTCAATTTCAAATATTTGTGGCTATTTAATTTGAAGGATTCAGGACAGAAGTTTAATTTTTGTCTATGTTTATGTCATTAGGACAGGTATTTACTAAGATGTTTTCTGTATTTCTTTTGGAATAATGTAGAATTGATGACATGTTGACAGGAAAACGGGCCCCAGAAGTTTAATTTCTGAACTGCATTGGACAAAATTTCTAGACTGAAATTTGATGGATTTTTATTTTGGCAGATTTTCTAAATCCACCATGCTTTCCGTCAAATTAAAACGGGAGCCAAATTAAGTGTATCTACAGTATGTGACATCACAATTACTAGATGAATAAATAATAGACTCTCGGTCTTTATTCCTTAAGTAAAGTTATATTAGTTATGCCTCTGTGACCACAAAATATGGCAAAGTCTTGACAATTGTCAATTTTTTTATTTCCTGCTCCTTAAAGTCTCCGGGTTTTCACCAAATATTGCCCCAGTTCTACTTTCCAAATAGGAGTTTAATATTTCTATTGCAGCAGTCCTGAATATGTAAAATCTTTATTTTTCAAAAGTCAAACAGCCTGAAAGCAATCATGGTTTCACTGTCTCTCATGTTATCAATTCACTTGTTGATTCTAGTGACAATTATTACAATTAGGATGGCACTGTTGCCCAGCAACCCTGCATCTGCAGCCTCCACTTATATCTCCTGATCCCTGAAACATTATGGAAATGAACTACATATCCTCGTCATATTATGGAAATGAACTACATATCCTCTTCATATTTGTCAGTAATAATTAGTTTTTTGTGAGTATGCTTATCCAACTTTTAAAAATTGAAAACAAATTAAAATCCGAACAATAGTACTTAATGAAATAAGAGTACTACGATTGCTATGCTAAGTAAAGAATTCTAATTTGACTATTTTACACAACTTACCCTGGCATATTTCTTACACAACTCGCCCCGGTCCCCCCCCCCCTTGGACTAGTCACCCAGCACATTTAAGGTTTGACATTCCTATCAGTGATATGAACTACTCTGCAAAATATTAGCTTCGAACTCCAATGGACTTTCAGGAATCTCTAAAATTGCTCAAAACTTTTGAGCAATTCAGAGGTTCCTGAAAGTCTAACCAGCAAATCTTAGAACCCTGATTCGAAGATACCTAAAAGCCTTACCAATAAAGCTAGAAGCCTGATATTGCACATACCTAACAACCATATTACCACCTCATGTTGTGTGAACTAACTTTGGATATTGAGCTATACTTTCTGAATTATCAGGACACAAAGTGGGCATTCTGTACCAGTGACAGGGGGTTGACTGAAAACAAATCGTGGTGGGGGAGGTCTAAACTTTGATTAATTTCAGTAAAATTGTACCAGGAGACTTGTACCAACCTGGGTCATGAAAATGTGATTTTGACCCATACTTTCAGATTTTAAGACAATTCCAAAAAGGAGGCCATTGGAGTTCGAAGCTAATATTTTGCAGAATAGCTCACATCACTGATAGGAATGAAACCCCAAATGTACTAAATGATCGGGATCTATGTTCCTATCTATTACACACCACACCAGAATTTACCCAATTGCATACTGTATTTTGTGAAACATCTAATATCAGCCTTGATTATGTTTTTTCCTTTTGGTTTATATATGAACAGTTATGAATGAGTGAATTTAGTCACCCGACATATCTCTGTCTTACACAACTTACCCCTGGTCCACATCTACGGCATTTAGTCACCTAGCATATCTCTGTCTTACACAACTTACCCCTGGTCCCCATCTACAGCCTTTAGTCACCTAGCATATCTCTGTCTTACACAACTTTCCCCTAGTCCCCATCTAGGGCCTTTAGTTACCCAGCATATCTCTGTCTTACACAACTTACCCCTGGTCCCCATCTACGGCCTTTAGTCACCTAGCATATCTCTGTCTTACACAACTTACCCCTGGTCCCCATCTACAGCCTTTAGTCACCTAGCATATCTCTGTCTTACACAACTTACCCCTGGTCCACATCTACGGCATTTAGTCACCTAGCATATCTCTGTCTTACACAACTTACCCCTGGTCCCCATCTACAGCCTTTAGTCACCTAGCATATCTCTGTCTTACACAACTTTCCCCTAGTCCCCATCTAGGGCCTTTAGTTACCCAGCATATCTCTGTCTTACACAACTTACCCCTGGTCCCCATCTACGGCCTTTAGTCACCTAGCATATCTCTGTCTTACACAATTTACCCCTGGTCCCCATCTAGGGCCTTTAGTCACCCAACATATCTCTGTCTTACACAACTTACCCCTGGTCCCCATCTTGGGCCTTTAGTCACCTAGCATATCTCTGTCTTACACAACTTACCCCTGGTCCCCATCTTGGGCCTTTAGTCACCCAGCATATCTCTGTCTTACACAACTTACCCCTGGTCCCCATCTTGGGCCTTTAGTCACCTAGCATATCTCTGTCTTACACAACTTACCCCTGGTCCCCATCTTGGGCCTTTAGTCACCAAGCATATCTCTGTCTTACACAAATTACCCCTGGTCCCCATCTAGGGCCTTTAGTTACCCAGCATATCTCTGTCTTACACAACTTACCCCTGGTCCCCATCTAGGGCCTTTAGTCACCCAGCATATCTCTGTCTTACACATGGAGCATTTTATCCAGTCACATCCATCTTTCTTCAGGACTACAATCTTGCAGGAAGGGCAGTACATGGCCTCACCAGATGTTATCATATCCTGGAATATTGAGAAAACATTTACCTATTTACATTTACACCATGTGACAACCAGCCATATACCCATTAATTTTGTAAATTCATTCAAAGTAAACTAAATGAGCCAACTGCTGCAAAAGTAATGCCAGTAAGACAAAGGCTAGCCATACTAACCCTCTAGTTTTACACATACCCAGTATTGCACATTATTTCAATAGACCCACATGGATAAACTGCCCTAAAGTTTCTATAACTCTTGTTAGTGAATGGTGGCCCTGGTTATTTTTTCGCTTGCCAAACGAGCACAAAGTCAAGTTAAATGTTTTAAAACATATCTGACAATTGGAACTTGTATTTTCAAATTATTTTTATAAAAATATTGGCCAGAGATATGAAATTTGTTTTGCGGGACTCCAATTTGTGATAAAGAGTTCAGGTGGTAATTTATATAAATATCTCCATGATGCATCGCTTTTGAAGGAACAAATTTTCATTGGCCCAACAAACGAGTCGATTACTCTGAACGCAACGTCTGGAGATTGCAGAGTCAAAGGTTACGATCTGTTAATTTCATTGGTCGATGAGTACATCATAACATATGTATAGCATCAAAATTTCAACAAATTCTGATAAAACTAGCGTGAATCTTGACAAAATGACATTTTCTCAGCTTCCGATCTTCCATCAGCCCCCAAGCATAGTTATATGATCCAATCTATTCAATAATCATATATTCGTATTGGAGTATTAAATGAGATGCACCAAGAAGGGATGCTACCAATTTCTGGTATTTCTATGACATTTGACTTGCAGATTCATTTCTTTTACTTAACAAATTCAATTCCTCCCCAGTCGTTGCACCTTCTTTTAAATTTAAACACCATTTTCTCTTACTGAGCTCTCTTACCTGTAGCATTTTCTGTGTTTGTTGGGCTGCTATGTCATTGGCGGCCCTAATCCTGATATCCTCCTGGTACTGCCTACAATTTATGCCCTTGTGTATTGCCTTACACGTCAGACAATTTTGATTGCCACACACAGGACAATTGAAGAAATTCACATCATCTTCATAGATGCACCATCCTTTGCAATCTGCAGTTTTGCAGTGGAAGCTGTGGGTCTCTTGGCCTTCAGCTGTTGCCAGACTCCTTTGGAGGTGTCTTTCATAGACTCCTGGAGGCACAAGCTGAAATTATGAAAATATTTAAAGTAATAGCTATTAGTAATCCTTTTGGGCAACCCTGCATCCCTTTTAGACACATGAGTCCCTTCTGGACACCCCTACGTCCCTTGTAGGTCCATGAATTCCTTTAGAGTCACAAATCCCTTTTAGATACCAGTGTCCCCTTAAAACTCGTGAATCCCTTTTAAACACTGTGTCCCTTTCAAAAACACCAACTTTTGGTTTTAGAACCAGATATTACTCCAGCCTTAGATTGAAAAATCTCTATGCATCAATGAAATGAATAAAATACCTGTTTTATTTCCCGTTCTTGGAGAACACCATTGCAAGCATAATCGTTGTCTTGAAAGGGACAAGTTATCACAGCATCTTCACTGACTTCTATCATACCTTCTAGGCACTCTCTGCAAAAACAATAATAATGTCCAATCATTTTATATTTAACTTTATTTCCATACATTATATTATCCTAAATAAGTTCAGATTTTTTATAATGCGAAGAAAGCGCTCAGTGTAGAGAATTTGTTGGGTGCACTGGTGGACCTAAGGACATATGTACCATATGTAGAGTGCCCTGGTGGACCTTCTGGCACATATACCAGATGTAGAGTGCACTGGTGGACCTTGCAGCACATGTGTACCAGATGTAGGGTGTCCAGGTGGACCTTGGGGCACATGTACCATCTGCCCTGGGTGCACTGGTGGACCTTGTGGCACATGTACCATATGCAGGGTGCCCAGGCAGATCGTAGATATGTAGGGTGCACTGGTGGACCTAAGGGCACATGCAGCATGTGTAATGACCCGAGGGCGCTCCAGGGGAATAACTAACTAACGAGCATAGTGTAACAAGCCAGATAAAGAAATAGAAAGAAAATGTGCTTAATTCAATGCCCCACATGGGAATCGAAACTAAGACCCTTGGATCCGAAGTCTGATGCTCTACCGACTGATCTATAAAGGCTTAAGCCACTACAGCTGGACTGTAGTAGCAACTTGGTATCAAGGGTCGTTACATATGCAGGGTACACTGGTGGACCTTGTGGCACATGTACCATATGCAGGGTGCACTGGTGGACCTTGTGGCACATGTACCATATGCAGGGTGCACTGGTGGACCTTGTGGCACATGTACCATATGCAGGGTACACTGGTGGACCTTGTGGCACATGTACTATGCAGGGCTGTCCAACTGTCCCACAATTTGCGTATTTGTCTCGCATTTGCTGGAAAATTTGAAGACACACAAATTTTTTTGGGTGACAGAATATGTCACGCAAATACGCATTTTACCTGATTATTGTCGTGCAAAAATATTCCTGTACAAAAACTATTGCCGATACAGCACAAAACTTTTCACGCGGATACTGTATGTTTCACACATTTTCCTCGAAATATTTCGAACCTACCCCACTCAACCTACCTGCAGAATGTATGAAGGCATTCCCTCAGTACAACTCCTTCCCCCTCTTCTACTATATTGTAACATATGAGGCACTCGAAGTCTTCTGTGTTTGTTATTAGGTCCCTCTCATCAGTAGAGAGTAACTGGGTTAGATTCTCTTGCTGTTCACGCAGCTTTTTCTCTTGTCTTGTTATCTCTGCCTTAAATACAAGAGGAAAATACATAGTTGAAACTTTGCCAAATCTCTCAGGCCTTTAGCCAGCCTTTGCCAAGGGGATGTTAAGCTTTCAAAAATTCAGACCGCCAGTTGTATCTAAAATGAATCGGGTGGTTTTTCATGCATTTTGCTTGCTTTTCTTCTAAAAACACATCAGTACACTATAAAACATTTTATTGAATATAGGATTAAACCATATAATCCCAAAAAATATTTCTCATTTTCAAAGGTAATCTGTGGATGAACACCCAGGTATTTTTATTTTTCAAACTTCAGAGAGCTGGGAATCACTGATAATCAATGATTATCAATGATAATCACTGATGTTCAATACAGAACGTCAAATAAGTCCCCCCTGCTTCAGCTAAAACCTTAATAGATGGGACCTTGTGTGATATATCAATTGGAAGCATCTTCCAATGTTAACTCACCAAGTGAATGAAATGAAGAATTGATTTCGGAAGCAAAATGAGAAAATTTAAAAACAAACACACAATTATAACATAAATAATTATATCTCTTGTCATTTAACTGATACAAACTATAAAGAACAAAGTATATGGTCAGATGGTTTAGAGTCGCTAAAATAGTATTTATTTGGTTTTCAAACTGTCTTTGGGGTAATTTTCCCTCATTTTTGTGAGTGACTCAATGACTGAGTGGTCCACAACTCATACAAAATGCTGTAGTGTGTACTTGTATGTCTATGTATGGGTGCACATAAAAGAACACAGGGCTCCTTTGAGGAGGGGTTTCTGGGTTTATCTTCCAGGCTAGTAATTACGTTAATTAAGACCAAATTGTCATTAGACAGTGTGCCATGCTTATAGTAGTCACATACAAAATATGAACAAAATTGTATGGGTGCACATAAAAGAACTCAGGGCTCCTTTGAGGAGGGGTTTCTGGGTTTATCTTCCAGGCTAGTAATTACGTTAATTAAGACCAAATTGTCATTAGACAGTGTGCCATGCTTATAGTAGTCACATACAAAATATGAACAAAATTGCTTCACTACTTTTCGAGTTACAGCGAAAATCGTAAAATAGCAAGTAAAGGCCGCCATTTTTCAAGATGGCTGCCATGTGCTTCTTTAAGATCTACATTTCTAGCTATATTCATGTCCTGTATAATTTTTTTACATTTAAAACATATTGCTATTACAGTTTTACATATTGGCACTAAAATGGCCGCCAGTTTGGAATGAGAGGCCATTTTGAAAATCGGCTTTCGAACAGATCTTCTACCCCCATAGGGTATATGTTTACAAAATATGAACAAAATCTGGCCAAATGTATTTGAGTTACGGCCCAGATGGATGGACGGACGGACGGACGGAGGTGTTCCCTATATCCCAATATCGATGGGATAATAATCATTTAATGGATAAATTCTGAAATTGTGTAAAAACAGGACATATGTTACAGATTTCTTTATATCCATTTTACACAAAATATTATATTTGGAGGATAAATAAATAATCATTCTTATTCTTTATTTTTTATTTCATTATAAGCACAAAAGTTCTGACAAAATATAGGAATAATATATAGAGGGTGACACAAAAAATGCTTCCTACTTTGGTATAACTTTCTCAATAATTAAGGAGTCTTCTTGATTTTTTCTGTAGATAAGGTGTTCAATGGATAAAAGATTGTTGAACTTGGATAGCATGAACAATTTTGAGTTTAAAAGATATCACATTTCCATCCAGACATGCTCTCTGTGAAATCATAAAAATAGTTGAAAAATACAATTTTCTGAAATTTGGATTTCTGTCCTCGCCATTATTTGAGTCATTTCTTGATCCAAGTACAACAATCTTTTATCCATGGAACACTCTATCTTAACACAATTGAAATCAGTAAGATTCCTTAATTATTGTGAAAGTTAAACTAAAATTAGTGGGTGGCATTTTTTGTATTATTCCAATCCTCCAATGATAAACAACTGGCATTACCATCACTCGTCACAACTTGGTTGCATAATTTAATTAATTTAGAAAAATATTTTTTTTATTCTTGGTTTTAAAGCTTTCAAAACTGCAAAACTTTAAATAAGGAGGATATAGGGTTAGAAATGCCATATTAGAACCAAAACAAGATGTATTTTATCAAATCACTATTCATTTTGATACAGAAATAATGCAGCTGTAGTAATGTCTCCTTTTGGGAACATCTACATCCATGAAGTGATGTGCATCCTATTAAATCTCCTCCAGGAGTTCTACTGTATGCCAATAAAAAAAAACAATCGGTCAATAGTAAGTGTCAACAATTCAGTTTTTTACAAAATGGTGGCCATTTTGAACTTAAACTCATATCCTTACTTGAACTTTATTTGATGAGATAAGTCTACATAATAAAGGTACATATCAGTGGCGTAGCCAGGATTTGGTGACCGGGTGTTCTATTTTTATGTTATTCCCCTTCATTAGGGTTTCTCAAATAATGCAATTTGTACAATTACACTCCCTCCAAAAGTTTGGCAATCCTAACTAACCCATTGGATTATGTATTAAAGCATCTTTAAGTTTGAATTCTCATATGCATAATTTGTAAAGAAAAAACTATTTTGGGAGGGGAAATATAATTCATTTCAATACGTTCATTAAAGGCAGAATCTGATCTATAGGGTGTGACAAAATTACAAGCAGCATGTTTAATTGACCTACCAATCTATTCCTTACAATATCAAATACAATATCTCCCAAAAGATTCACAACATGTTATAAATTGGTGAAGTTATCAATGATTCAAAGTGCAAAAATGAGTGAAAATGTTTAAATTCTCCCAAATAATAATAAGAATGGTATTGTAACCATTCTTATAGAAAAATAATACATTTTTGTAAAAATCTTTAGTTTTCCTGGAATAAAGTATGCACAGTTGTGATTTTTAGAAAATAGACATGACAAGGAATGACATGAGAAAAGTCTGAAAGTAATAGACTTTATCAAGAAACCTCTCCCATTGAAATAACACAGGACGTAAAAATGATTTTCAAAAATGACCTTGTAGCTATGTAACTTTAATGTTCACAAAGTAAAATAAACAGGCAACGTGCAAAAAAGTCAGACAACTTATAATTAATTTTCTGCATCAAAATTTATTTCAGTGAATCTTTTACTGAATACATATCCTGAAATCTGATTTGCCTCGAATCCACCATTATTTCGAGTAATTTCTGGAAGACCCTGGAGCATGATTTGTTTCCAAGGAATATAAACTATTTCGCACAATTTATTCTTTAACTTAAGTTTCTTCATCTAGGACTAAATAAATCACCTCATGCAATGGCTTATCATTATTTCTCTTCTATGATAACTTTTCACAACGTTAACACGAAGGCTTTTTAAACTATCCGGGATAGTCGTATTACTGATGAAAATATCTATTATTCAAATAAGTGGGTCTTGGTTGTGCTTTGTTTTAAAAAATTAAAAATATTTCTTTGGACGTCCCCGGAGCTCAGTGGTAAGTTCCCCAGAGCAAATCAACCGCAATGGATAATAAAAACGTTTTAGTGGATATAAATCATTTATAAATACAAGCGACTGTTACTTTGTTAAGTTCAGATGGCTTGATAACAAATTAGGCCTTCATTATTTGTAGATTAATACCATATGATTTTTCAATGTTTTTTTTATTATATAATTTTTTCCCTAAACATATCATGACATTAACATGAAAATGGAGAGCAAGTAAACTGGAACGATAACAATTTGAATTCTATACAATCTCTTAGATGATTGGAGTGTATCTGAAAAGACAAAATCAAAATCATTTTTGCAATGATTGATTTTTCTTTGGACAAGTGATGGGTAAATAAATACTGAACAAATGAAAGAATGAATAAATTTGAACAAATGCTTGTGTTTATAAATGATATACGCTTTTAAATAATTCATTTCACAACGTTTTTAATTATTTAACACAATTGGTTTCGGGGACTTGCCAGCCCCAGGGACGTCCCAAGAAATATTTTAAATTTTAATCTAAATTAAACAAAACAGAGATGTACACATTTGAAAGAACATGTGTTTCATCAATATTATGACTATTCAAGATATTTATGCGTCAATGTTGTAAAAATCATTCGGAGTATGGGACGTCTGCACTGTTTTCAATAACTTTCAATAACTTCGTATTGGACCAGAACTGGCTAAAAACAAAATTCTTAGGACAGATTTAGCCATTGCCCAAGATGGGTTATTTTTGTTATTTCTAAATGTAAAATCTCATGCTCTAGGGTCTTCCCAAAATTAAATCTCACCCCTTGCCTAAGGTTGCCAAACGTTTTGAGGGAAGTGTAACTTCACTATGACATGTTTTTAAGAAAATAAGGCTCTCGTGTTCACTATAACAAAAAATATCAATTCATTTACTGCTCATATATGTAGTTTTCAAATAGCACAGTAATTTAATAATTCTGGTTATATGCATTTTCCGCAAAATGATATTTTGGGAAATCCTGACCAGGGGTTCGTTCAAACCCACCGAACCCCCGCTGCCTACGGCTATGATATACCGTAACATGTGTAGTGCTACATTATGACCCCAAGGTAAATATGTTTAAAGCATATAATCTACATTATGACAACAAAGTGGTTGCAGGCAGATTTGTATTTGGAAACTGAACCTCAAAAAGTCTTATTTGCAATAAAATAAATGCCATTTCTTTACACTGACATTTTTATAGTTATACTTGTACATGCGTTGCATATTTATATTATGCTGTATAATACTACATGTTTATGCACATTTTGTATTTGACTAGAAAAAACATATTTCATATTTTTTAACTTCTACAGGCTTAATTTAATAGGATTTAGTAGCCCATACCTACTGAAGTCCTATTTACACCACGCAGGAATATATAGTGTACGAGTATCTAGGGAGCAAGATGGATATTTTCTGTATTCATCCAGTTATCACCATAAGGTCTTGGAAATATAGGCTGTTTCCATATTGGTCCTGCTCC